TTTTAAGCACCCTTCACATAAGAACCATTTTAGGCTAAAATCCTAAAACAGGTTCTTATTTTCAAAAAAAAAAAATATAGAATTAAGAAATTTCTCAAAAAAAATGTATATATATAACACAGTCTGTATGCAATAATACTCTAAACACTATAGCATGGTTACATAAAACTTTACCATAGGTTTGATTGTAACAGAATCAGATTAAAATAGTATAGTATTTTGCTTAACGAAGCCTCCAAGAATACTGTTTTTGGACATTAAACACCAGATCATTTAAAAATTCAGCTTTATTTCTTGAACAAAAGTTAAGAACCTAATTAAGAACCTACTTAGCCTAATTTTACACTAAATACCATTTATATAAGAACCTGTTTAGGCTAACTTGGAAAAACCTAGGTTCTTATACGCGGGTTTTTACTGTAACTCGTATTCTCTCATACACGAACCAGGCGCGAAAGCAGCAAATTCCAAAGCTCTCACGCGTGCAAACTGCGTGACAATACAACTCACAGTAAGGGCCTGATCACATGAGTCGGGCTGGCTAGCTCTGCCGAGGTGACTTTAATTTCATGAAAAGGGCCAGCCCGGAGCCGCCATTTTTATAGAGATTGGAAGCAATGCACATGAGCAGAGCAGTGTGTTACCCGCTGACCTGTTTCTTGCCGAGTCCATTTGCCGGGCCGCCCGACAAGCGTGATTACTTGGAACATTTCCACCTGGGATCCCGGCATCACAATACTGGGATCCCAGTTAAAGGGGCTGGCTCGGTTGTCATATAATTGCAGAGTTGATTTTTGTTGTGTTTTAACGAAGGTGCCGAGATCTCTGCAAAGCTAACCAGCCCGGCATGTAATCAGACCGTTTGTTCTATAACCAGATTCTACGCCCTCTCTCCTGACCTCAGCGATTTTTCAAAGACTCCGAACACACACACAAATCCCCCCCCCTCAAATCTACATTCCCTTTCTCTATATTAAATGAACTTTCCCTTATCCACGTTCTCTCCATACAAATATTATCAAAAATAACCGAAAAACAATCCTAAACAGAAAGCCTAACAACGTTTAAAATAAGTACAAGTATGTTTTCGAGAATTGAAAGATGTTTCAATACCACCACTTCATTTCAACAGACATAAACTACACTATCCCTGCATAACCAAATTAGCACTCCCACAACTACCTCACTGCAACACCTAAAATCACTTTTACCTTTTAATTTTTTGTTATATCTTATATATTAAATTCTACGAGAAACCAGTTTCACTGATTAACAAACTACAGCCTTTAACTTACCAATCCACGTCCAATACAACTCCACGCCTTCCACTTCATACATTTCACTAACCCCTAAAATATACAACGCTACTACACTACTCACACATCCCTGATACACATAAAAAACCTTACACACGCGCAGTACATTGACGCCCAAATATACGCTTTCACAGCGTCTTGTCTGACATTAGGTTGAGCCTCGACTAGTCCAAGCTCCAAGATAGCAGTGCAGTACGTTGTGCAGTAAAAAGTGATGGGAAAAAACCGCACGGGTACTGGAGGAAGAGAGGACACCACCAACTCCTTCCCTAAGTCGCGAGTAGTTATGCTTCAGCATTTTGGGCCCCTTTGGTAGATTCCCTTTGGATTCCCTCGCAAAAAATGGATTTCCTTGATTACTTATGCAGGATTCCCTCGCGAAAAAATGCGTTTCTCTATATATAATTAAGTGCCTTCCTCCAAATATAATGAAGTGGATAGTCGTTTCTTTTCTTTTGGAAGAACACAATAGGAACAATAGGCTTGAGACTTGCCCGTTAAGTAACTTGAGACCGTTTTACCGGAACGCTTATTAACAGGAAACTAGGAGCGATCACCTAGAAACGCGAGAAACGGTTTATGTCTTCTTATTTAGCCCTAAAAACTCGAATATATCAACAAAACATACACAAAGACTATTACAGAACCGTTTTCTCCGTTCTATCTCGAGGAATGAAAAACAATTCTCAGCGTTTCACGCACCGTTAGTCAGTTAATTATGCGAGTTCGCAAACCCACCGTTACATACAAATTAGTTCTACAGGAAAAACCCCACCTTGACGTATTAGTACAAAAGCAATTTAAAGTAACTTAACAAGGATTAAAACACGCGACTCAAAGGCCCTAGCAATAAAATCAGACAAGTTTTTTTTAAGATCGAACCCAGGCCGTTTTTCCGGACCCGGTCATTCCGGCAATCATGGAGGTGAAAGGATGCTTGAAGCGACACCGCTGACATTTCTGTGAAAATATTGGAACTGTTTGAAATGGGGTGAGACCAGCATTGCGATGTTTAGACATCACTTGCCTTTACATACTACCCTTTCGACTAAAGGATTTTTCGCAGACAGAACAGAACCAACTCGTGTCAACTCCTCAGGAGCAGAATGTAGACTGAGAAAGAGGAAGAATGTTGAGCATTTATATAGGTTTTCAGGCCATAAAATTCCAATGTTTTCTTCCACTACAACCACCACCACCGCCACATTTCTATTGTTTTCCCTCCACCACCACCACCACCACATCTCGATTGTTTTCCCTCCACCACCGCCACCACCACATTTCTATTGTTTTTCCTCCACCACCACCACCACATTTCTATCCATCCTTAGTTCATTTAGTAGCAATGTCTCGTGTAGTGAACAACAATCGTGGTTTTCTTCAACTGTTAGCTGATTGCCCTGCTTATCAGCGCCAATTTCTTTTAAAGACAGCTACTTCACAGCAACTACATTCACATAAACAAGTCACAAGTGTCATACAGTTGGAACACATTTCCATCCTCGAAGAAAATAAGCGGATATTGCTGCCATATAAGGACGCTTTACTTGACCTGGCCAGACCGAATGTCCCTTACAAAACAAAGAAGCGAGTCCTTGTACAAGAGGGTAGTGGTTTTATTGAAGATGTATTAGTACCTATTGTTTCAAGCTTGGAATTTTTAATGCTATAAAAGAGGTGACGCAACGGCAAGTTGATCATTCTAAGCTACCTCTCTCACGCGTACTCATCAAAATGAAGAGAAAGATAGATTTGGTTGAAGAAAAACACGACAGTCAACATGAAGAAAGCGAAAGTGATGAAAGTGAGGATGTAGAACCAAGAATAAAAGATGTTTTGAGTCATCTTTCCCGAGCGGTGTCCGAAAAGCGTGCTTCTGATTTGCTGCATCGTATAGCCGCGTCCAAAGATATTCTTTTCTGGACTCCCCGTGGACAATTACTTCAAAATACACGCATTATTCCCGTCACAAACATCGCCTAGCTAGTTGAGTGTGTGTTACTCCCTCGTAACAATGAAGTTATCAAGCCTTGTGGGCTGAATACGTTTCTAGATGGACGTGCAGAGTTAGGAATCGATAAAGGTTTGATCAAGAACAAAACGTTGCTAAGTGATTTAATAGAAAAGGAAAAAGGCTACCGAAATGCCGAAAATACTTCCGAGAACGAGAGTAATAGTGAGGGGAGTTCATCGCATATTGAAAATCAGGAGGAGGAAGTGGCTCCTAGAATGGTATTGAAGCTGAAGGCACCCAAGAGAGCGACAATGACACTGAAAACGACAGTCAGGAAACAGAAAGTAGTAGCCCTGAAACGTCCACCACCTTTCACTCTAAAGGTACTGGACATTGATCATGAAATGTCCTAAATGCTTTTGGCACCATTACTACAAGATTTGTCCTATATGCGATCACCAGATTCCCGAGGGAGAAATTACGGTTACACACAAAAACGCGAAGACGGTGGAAACCAAATTCTATTCCCCTTCTAAAGGGGAGAACGAAGAAGATGAGGATTACATGTAATTTATCATTCCCTTACAAATCGCTGTGTATTTGATTCTTTTTGTCATTGTTTTTTAATAAAGTTTTTAAAACGGTATCTCGTGTCTGATTTTATTGCTAGCGTTTATTAGTCGTGTGTTTTAATTGATCCTTGTTAAGTTATTTTAAATTGCTTTTATACTAATAGCGGAGCTCTCGCGTGCGAAGCGCGCGCAGCAGAGCACCATGGGTAAAAAAATGTGGTAAACTACCCATCCGGGAAAATTTGGTAATCACGTGACCGTACACGGACCGCCCGCACGTCCGACCGTCCGTCCGCACCACAGGCATACCAATGTAAAATAATTCAATCAACAGGTATGGCAACCCAAATGCAACTCGAGGTTTTATTTGGAAAGAAATCGCATGGCCGCCCGGACTTTTAGAAACAAAAAACAGCAACGAAGTCGTGTCTTTTTCGACGTTATTTTTGACGTTTACACTCACGTGGATAACAAAGGAAGAGCTAGAGCGAGTGATTGAAAACAAAAGAGACGAATTTGTAGGAAGAAAAACATGAAAATTCAAAGCGGCTGTGAGACAATGAGAAATGCTAGCGGCTAGCAAGGTAAAATTGAGCGGCAGTGAAAAACAAAACCGAACATGAACACATGAGACAAAATATTGGGTAAGCACATACGACATTTCTTCCATAAAAATAATGTGTAACTAGGAAGTTTGACGTTTTAGTCCTACAAAACAGCGTTGTAGTTATGCAAAACAACGGCAAAGAAAGACAAAAAGCGTGCTGTACGTGCAAATTTGTTGTTTTTTTTTTCCTAATTAGAAAAAAAAGTGTGCTGCACGTGTAATTTGTTTTTTTGCTAATTAGACCAACCTCGTCCCCAGGGCTTTTCCCTTCATTGCCCTCCCCGTTTAGCGTTACACGATTTTTTTTTTCTTTACAAGTATTATTAACCAGAGCTTCGCTTTTAGCCCTGGCTAAATCTATATATTACGTCAAGCCTATTTTTTTCTCTCTCTTGCATGGTTTTTTCCCGTAGAACTAATTTGTATGCAACGGTGGGTTTGCGAACTCGCATAATTACCTTACTAAGTGACGGTGCGTGAACCGCTAGTTCAACTCCAGCTTGGACAAGAGACCTAATTTCCCTGGAACGAGATATTTCAGAATCAAAATCATGCTTGCAAAGTGTTTGGCAACAGGCCTTTTTCTTTTCTTTCTCTGTTTTGCCTTGGTATTTTATAACAGTCATATTGGGGCCTCTTTCGGCGGCCCTGATGTAATTCCAAAACTGATATTGTCGTCGCAGGAATCGTCGTGTTCGTGTGAATTGAGCCGGACATCGCTCGGACCTTCTCTGGAGTCCTTTATCCAAGCATCAATTACCAACGAGGGCAGAGAGCTGCATTTTCCCGGACTGGTTGTAACTTCGAGACTCAAAGATGCGTGTCAACCTCTCACTGATGTGAGCAAGGCGAAAATACCAGCAAACAAGATCGCTCTCGTCATCCTTGGACTTGAAGATGAAACTGCTTGTCCAATGCAAGACTTGGCGCTAGAAGCTCAGAGAGCAGGGTATTCTGTTCTTATGTACTTTGGATACTCTGCCAATACAATCCCAATATATGTGCCAAGTAAAGAGATATTATTGATCCCGGTTTTAGAAGTTGAGGCTAAGATCTATGATGCTCAGTGTGCGTTTTTGTTCGCAAACGCAAATAGAACAGATACAAACAATGCGGAAATCAGCATACAGGCTGACAGACAGTTATCAAAAGAACTGAAAGCAATGAAATCTTACTTAGTAAGACTTTACTACTGGTTTCTTTTGGGGCCAATCATAACACTCGCGGCGTGGATGATACGGACAAAGAAATTCTGTTGCCATTCCGGACGGCATGAAAGAAGTGAAAATTCATCAGAGCCTAAAGCGGAGAACCAAGTCAAGACCGATGATGAAAGAGACATTCCAAATATGAAAGAAGGAGAAAACAGAACAGGGGAGTCAACACAACCACCAGAATGCCCAGAAAGATCTGATGAAAAAAAACGCCTTCTACCTGCCAAAAGCAATGACTCAAAAAATGTCAAAAAATTCAACAGTGTTTGTGGCAAAGCAGGGAAAGGCTTTGGGTATCTGATTCTTGTTTTAGCAGCTCTTCCGGTAGGTTTGTCTGCTGGAGGAGTATCCTTTTTTAGATTTGATGATGCTGGAGAGTACAAGACCCTCATTCTTTTTTCTGGTTCTTCGACTACTTCCTCTATGGCCTGGCCCCATTTTTTCCTTGACTTCGACGTTCCTGTTTGGTGGTCACCTTTTCAGATATTTTGCTTTTTCCTGTACAGTTACTTTGCCTGTGGAAAAAAACCGGAAGGGACATGGACTATTTCCACAAATTTTTCAAAATTAATCCGAAATGACTGGTTCGCGTCGAACATTTATTTGCTAGCGTTAGGTGTTGTGGAGCCAATTTGCTCCTTCTCAGGTGCGGCGCTTGGAGTTTTCATCGTTCGCTTTGCACTTCACAACTCCATACACACACTATGCAATTTTCTTTTTTTAATCATTTTAAACAAGCACAAAGTGGTCACGCGCTACGTCTTCTACATCAGTGTGTGTATGATTTGCGCTTACATCGAGAGCGATGTTGTTGCTTTGTTTTATTTTGCACTCAGTTCTCAAGGATCCTTACAAAACGTCAAACTCACAGCCATCCGAACAGCGGCAATTACTCTCACATTGTTTGTTAGTTTTAGGAGCTCTATGCACATCATTCGGAAACTCATCAATCCCAGCGAATCACTGTTTGAGGGACTTTCAGAGCAGTGAGTGTTAAGGTGACACCGAAACCCTCGGAAGAATCAGAAAGTTTTCATACTTTTTCCCAGTTGATCGTTTATTGATGACTATCAAGTGATTGGTTCTATCTTGCTTTATAACAGTTAGATATTCTCTAAAGTCACAGGAGATCTTAGCAAGCTTTACTTAGCTTTTTCAAAAAGATCCTATTAATTTTGTGAATCATCATACAGTTCTAATAATTAAAATAATAGTCATTAAAATAACATTAACTTACATCATGATGGCTGAAATAGCGGTTTTGCTCAGTAAAGAGATTTCATTTTTACCGTGGAGTGTATGTATACCTTAGCATAATTGTTTACACCGCCTATGACCAAAATTTCGATAAACACAATTATTAAATAGTTTCTCGTGTGTACTAATGCAAAGCATTCTTGTAAAAAAATTAATATTCAACGTGCTATGTACTGATCTTTCTGAATTGGAAGGACTCAAAAGTTTTGAAGGTGCTGTAGACTTAGGCAAATGTATGAATCATTTTATTCGTGTACTCCTAATGTATCATTTAAGTTCGCATGTTTATATATTGAGAATCTGATTATGCTAGTGTACTCGAAGTGAATATTAAAGAATTTTGACTAACAGTACTACTTTGGTCCCGTTTCTTTTATAGCTAGAAAAATGGAACTCAGATTTGTTGTACTACTATTTTTTGTCTTTGACTCCTTCAGTCCTAGTCCATGCGCGAGATTGATGTGTCCCCAAATCTGTGGCCGACAAAATTCTGTGCTGCCATCCAAAAAACCCTCTTTGACAGAACTCAGGGGCGGATCCAGGGGGGTGGATTAGGTGGCTAGCCACCCCCCTTTAGGACAGCCCACGCCAAAAAAGTAATACGCGGAAAAACAAAGGGATATACGTGGGTCCTCATGTGGTTTTCACATGACGTCACTAAAGTTCAAACTAAAAAACTATCGATCCTACCGAGATTTTACTTTCACGATGCATTAGAGCTGCTGAAAACTAATTTTCATACAAATTTTTGCTTCAAAAGGGTTCTTGGTTTTGTGATAGAGTACGCTTGAATTTCTGAGCTTTTGCGTGACGCGGCATTTACATGACGGCCAAGAGAGCTGACATGTAGGTTAAAATAATGACTTATTTCAGGAAATTTTTCTATCTAAACAGTTCACGTATTAGAAAAAGTATTACTTTAATGTTTATGAGTTTAAATGAGAATTCTTTTATGAGAATAAATTCACGCTTTTGTTGCAAAACTCGGTAACAGATGTTTCTGTTGGTTTCCGTCCGCCATGTTGGAGCTCATCCAGGTGAGCACCAGCATGGCGTCTCCATACAAATCTCTATAAGTTTGGGCAAACAATTCTTCGGATATCTCGTATACGAAATATTCCTCCGACCTGAATCTTGGCGAGGGTCTTTGTATATGTACCTCCTTTTATTTCCCAGATTCTGGACTTAATCTATTAAACGCTTTTGATTTTTATTTTGATCTATTTTGAATGGCGTGATACGTGCAATCGCCATTCATGTAGCCTGTTCCAGGCTCCGAGATAGTGGTGAAAAGTCGTTCAGTAAAAAGAAATGCGAAAAACGCGCGGGGGCTGGGGAGAGACAGGGCGTTATGTTTCCAAGAATTTAAGGGCAAAAAATAATCATGTGATTCTGAGATCATTTTCTATATTACAAATCACGAGTTTCAAGAGCGTGACATCTGTCCCACAGTCCTATATCTTATGTCGATTGATTGAATTACTAAATCGCACGTGTGTCGGAAGCGGCCTATCATGTGATTCTAAGATCATTTTCTATAAGAAACAAATCACGAGTTTGAAGAGCGTGACATCTGTCCGAGCGTTTCTCTAGCGGCTGCGTTGGTGTTTGAGAGCGTTTTAAAAGAGAAGAGCTAGCATAAATCTGGTGACTGTTGTTTGCATGTGCTTGCGCGACCAGTTTATTTGCATGCTGTGACCTGTAACACATTGGTACCGAAGCAAGTTGAGGGTTTTGTGTAGAGCCCAGCCGGGAAACCATACTTGCATAACGGGCGCCTTGCCAAGTTAGGCGAAAGCAGTATTTTGCGCGAAGCGCGAGACGAGCTGTTGAGTCAGATGCTATTTGACTTGTAACTGCTTGGTTAGGAAACGATAGTGTATGCATCTAAATTAGTACTACTCTGAACATTTCGCGAAAAATTACACATCGATATCGGCCGGGAAAACGTCTGTAAGATTTGATATTACAGTAAGTGATCATGAGTCATGTGATTACATGAATTCATGCGATCGTTCCTTTTTTTTTTTTTTTTGCGGATTTTTGTTCGGATTTAAAGGCCGAGAGGGCGAATGCGTGAGGACCGTTCATTATTCTTATCGTGGTGGCAGTTGGGAGCAGCCCCACTCCAGTGGTAGTAATGTTAAAATTGTCCCTGTATTTTAAGTAGTTTGCATGCAGAAACTTCCTTTTTCCCTTTTTTCATTTGAAAAACAAATTTCTCAGGTTTTTCCTTTCTGTTGTTCTTGTTGTTGTTGTTTTTTCTAGTAAATGTGCATTTCGTATACAGCTCTCTGGCTTGGTTTTCGTTAGTTTGCTGTCCTTGATAAAAGATCATGTTGATGATGAACACATAAAACGATATCGTGAAGGATTTTTTTATATTGACATTATTATTGACACTCTTAGTGCCGGATCTTTTCTTGCTTGTGTCTTACCTGGGGTCATTTGCATAAAGGAGGCTTAGATTATAGACGAATAAAAACAAAGAGATTGACGAGGCTTAGCGTTTACGTCGAACGTAAAAATGTATGCAAGTGGTCCCCGGCTTATTTACATGTGGGAAAGTTGTTTGCAACCTTTTTTTTTTGGCCAATTAGTTCTACCACTTTGTCGAGTCAGTATTGTTTTACTCTGGGACGGTGACGAGTAAAGTTACAAGTGGAAAGTGGGATTTTCAAGATGGCGCAACCGGAAGAAACTCGATAACATTTGGTCCCATTTTGTGCATGTAACGGAAAAAGGCCAAAAAAGGAAGGGGAATTAAAGGAAAAACTGGTTGAATGCAGAGGTCCACGCAACACGTAAATATAACTGACTGGTTCCTCTTAACAGCAACCTCGTCCCCAGGGCTTTTCCCTCAAAAAATGGGTGGGGCGAGAAAAGGCCAGGCATCGGCTGGTCACGTGTACAGCCTAAATATTCCTGAGAAGTAATTTATATGCAACCCGCTGGTTTTGCGCTGACAGAAGGGAGCAACAATGGAAAATAACAACATTGCGAACTATGTCAATATTTTCGCGTGTGTGCGATTCAAAAGCTTAAGATCGCATTATTCAAATGCTAGAAGTTTATGAAAGGGCAGACCGGCTCTACGTTGTCACGTACAAAATATGTCAAATGCTTCAGCGTTGAGACAAGCTGTTATGTCCCACTGTTGACTGTAGAATTACTGAACGATCAAGCGGGAAGTGATTTTGTCCAATGTCAAACAAAAATGCGGGTCTTTGCCTTCAGGATCTGCAGTGAATTTAAACAAATTGAACTTAATTGAAATAGAATTGTTCATCAAAATGCTTTATGAAGTCTGGTCTTCTCTACAACCCTGACCATGAAACAAACAAATCTCCGCGCCGGATGCAAGTCAGCCCTCCAGCCAGGAACGATGACAGAGGTCGCCGATCTGAAACATTTGAAGGGCTCTTATATCTTTTCTCTTCCGAGAATAAGTGCAAAGGATTTTCCTTATATCAATGGGAAGATTGACTGATCGATTGGAATCAACTACAGCTCTGTCAATTTTAAAGTTTTTTTGTTGCCAGTCGTTTGATCGCAGAGGTCAATGTTTTTGTATAAAAATACAGGTCTTACAGGATAAGTCTAAACCAACCCGTGTCGTTATGATATTGCTGAGAGTTAAGGTAAATAGAACTAGGCTGTGTACGGCGGCCCACTTCGCAAGAAATGAAATAAAATATCAGAAGAGTCGAGAAAGCGGACTTTTCCAGTACAACCTTTATGCACGTACGATAGCTTGTTTGTCATTTATACCACTCTATGGACAGAAGTTTTACAAATGTTACTCGCTGTCCCCTTCATAGAAATAGGAGGAAAGCAAAAAATTACCACAGCCAGTATCTGTGACAAAAAGAAGACCTTGTAAAACTTTTCGTTAATCGTCAAGAGATATAAAAGGTCGCCCAAGATCGCGTGCTGTGAGGTTACGCATAATTTATGCTTTTCATATGGCGCTAATTTATTACACCCAGGATTTTAGGGTGTACGAGGAGACACGTGACCAGCCGATGCCAGGGCCTTTTCCCGCCCCACCCATTTTTTGAGGGAAAAGCCCTGGGGACGAGGTTGCGGCCCGTACCTAGCAAAAATTGACCCAAGTACCCCCCGGGGTGTTTACACTATTCCTGCCGGTCCCACCTTGTTCAAGACCCGCCCTTGGGGAAAGTAAACGAAATTCCAAGTTCTTTTTTCATTATTCAATCTCCAGAAATGTTCTATTTCTGATTAAAGAGTTTTAATTTTAATGATGTCATTATAATAGAAATATCGTGTTTTGGCGAACTCTCACTCGTGGTCATTCGTGGTCACTCGTGTGTACTTCATGAGCAAACCGCGTTCGTGACAATTATTTTTAAAACCCTTGGGTTAATTAGATTAACTCGTATTCTCTCATACACGAACCAGGCACGAAAGCAGCAAATTCCAAAGCTCTCACCTATGCAAACTGCGTAACAATACAACTCACAGTAAGGGCCTGATCACAAAAGTCGGGCTGGCCCGGTTGTCAGGCTGGCTAGCTCTGCCGAGGTTACGTTTATCCCGGTATTTCATGAAAAGGGCCAGCCTGGAGCCGCCATTTTTATTATATAGAGATTGGACACAATACGCTTGAGCAGTGTGTTACCTGCTGTCCTGTTTCTCGCTGGGTTCGTTTGTCGGGCCGCCCGGCAAGCGTGATTACTTGGAAAATTTTCACCCGAGATCCCGGCATCACAATACTGGGATCCCAGCTAACCGGGCTGGCTCGGTTGTCATATAATTGCAAAGTCGATTTTCGTTGCGTTTTAACTAAGGTGCCGAGATCTCTGCTGAAAGCGAGCCAGCCTGGCTCATGTAATATAGGAGTTCACGCTCATAGTTGCATCATGGGTAGTCAGGGCAAGGTGGCGGGAAATTAGAAGATTTGTATTAGAATTCAAAGCCAGCTAATTCTTCCTGAATTTATATATTTGACGCTTTCTCTTCAAAGAAACAATACAGTAAATCTGGAGTGCAAAGTAGTCCGTGATCAGTTTTTAGAAAACTTTGCTTTTCCCATACATTTTCTGTAATTCGACAGTGTCAAAAGCCTAACAAAGTTTAAAATATGTACAAGTATGTTTTCGACAATTGATTCATTTCACTTCATTTCAACAGACATAAACTACACTATCCCTTCATAACCAAATTAGCACTCCAACAACTACCTCACTGCAAGACCTAAAATCATTTTTACCTTCCAATTTTTTATTTCTTATTAAATCCTACAAGAAACCGGTTTCACTGATTAACAAACTACAGCCATTATCTTACCAATCCACGTCCCATACAATTCCACGCCTTCCACTTCATACGTCTCAACCATCCCCTAAAAGATACAGCGCTACTGCACTACTCACACATCCCTGATACACATACACACGCCTAGTACATGGACGCCCAATTATACGCTCCCACAGCGTCTTGTCTGACTAGTCCAAGCTCCAAGGTAGCAGTGCAGTTATGCAGTAAAAAGTGATGAGAAAAACCGCGCGGGGACTGGAGGGAGAGAGGACACCACCAACTCCTTCCCTAACTCGCGCGGGCTTTATTTGCGCTTGGCTTGTTTATTTTCGCGTAACGTCCCAACTATCTAACAGCCTGGCATATCCTAGCCCTTACAATCAACTAGAAAAGAAGCTTTCTCATTGCGCGTGACCGAAGACTACCCGCGTTACTTACACTTACAAAATTTAACCTCTAAAGTATCTACTTGTGTTAAATTACGTCTGCGTCGTAGGCCGTATTGCTATCTATCCTAAAGCACAATAGTTCGACTCTAGCTTGGACAAGAGACTAATTTCCCTGGAACGAGATATTTCAGAAACGGCAAAATCAAAATCATGCTTGGAAAGTGTTTGGCAACAAGCCTTTTTCTTTTCTTTCTCTGTCTTGTTTTGGTATTTTATAACAGTGATACTGGGAACTACTTCGGAAGTGGTGATTCAATTCCAAAACTGATATTGTCGTCGTGTTCGTATCATTTGATCTGGACATCGCTAGGAACTTCTCTGGAGTCCTTTATCCAAGCGTCAGTTACCGACGAGGGCAGAGAGTTACATTTTCCCGGACTGGCAATAACTTTGACACTCACAAATGCGTGTCAACCTCTCACTGATGTGAGCAAGGCGAAAATACCAGCGAACAAGATCGCTCTTGTCACACTTCAACTTGAAGATGAAACTGCTTGTCCAATGCAAGACTTGGCGCTAGAAGCTCAGAGAGCAGGGTATTCTGTTCTAATATATTTCGCATACTCTACCTATACAACTCCAATATATGTGCCAAGTGAAGAGATATTATTGATTCCGGTTTTAGAAGCTTCATTGCCTCAATTATATAAAAACAATACTGCTCAGTGTATTTTGTTAGCAAACGGAGATAGAACCAATGCGGAAATCAGCGTACAAGTTTTTAGACTCTCATCAATAGAACTGAATGCAATGAAATCTAACTTAGAAAACCTTTACTACTGGTTTCTTGTGGGGCCAATCATCACACTCGAGTGGATGAGACGGACAAAGAAATTCTGTTGGCAATCCGGACGGCGTGAAAGAAGTGAAAATCCATGAGACTCTGAAGCGGAGAACCAAGTCGAGACTGATGCTGAAAGAGAAGGCGAGCATAGAACTGGGGAGCCAGTACAACGATTAGCATACCAAGAAAGACCTGTTGAAGAACAACCCCTGCTAATTAGTGCCGTACGTAATAACTCACATGATGTCAATCGTTGTCCTCGAGGAAGTGGTTGTGTCAGAAAATACCACGGTGTTTGTGACAAAGCAGCAATAGGCCTTGGTTATCTGATTCTTGTTTTAGCCGCTCTTCCGGTAGGCTTGTCTTCTGGAGGACTATCCTTTTTTAGATTTGATGCCTTTGGAGGCAACTTTTACTTTTCTTCGACTTCTTCCATTTTCGCCTGGCCCAACTTTTTAACTTACATAGAAGCTCCTGTGTGGTGGTCACCTTTTCAGATATTTTTCTTTTTCATGTACAGTCACCTTGCCTGTGGAAATCAACGGAGAGGGACATGGACTATTCCTACAAATTTTTCAAAATTAATCCGAAATGACTGGTTCGCGTTGAACATTTATTTGCTAGTGTTGGGTGTTGTTGAGCCATTTTGCACATTATCAGGTTCGGTGGGTATCAGATATTTCCTCGTTCCCTTTGCACTTTGCAATTCCATAAACACAGTATGTAATTTTCTTTTTTTAATCATTCTAAACAAGCACAAAGTCGTCAAGCGCTACGTTTTCTACATCAGTGTGTGTATGATTTGCGCTTACATCGAGAGCAATGTTGTTGCGTTGTTTTATTTTGCACTCAATTCTGAAGGATCCTTGCAAAACGTCAAACTCACAGCCATCCGAACAGCGGCAATTACTCTCACATTGATTGTAAGTTTTAGGACCTCTATGCACATCATTCGGAAACTCATCAATCCCAGCGAATCACTGTTTGAGGGACTTTCAGAGCAGTGAGTGTTACAGTGACACCGTAACCGTCGGAAGAATCAGAAGTTTTCATTTTGTTTTTTTCCGCAGCTGATTGATTATTGGTGACTATCACGTGACAGAGGGCCAAAACACACGTGATCAGATTACGAGTGATAGTAGGTCCAAACGCGCGTGATCAAAATGCGTTCTGTGCATTCCATTCATTCTTAGTGGAAGTCCAAAGGAATGCTGGCTACATACATGCGACGCATGCGTAACAGTAACCAAGAGATTTGGATTGAGGGCTCCTCTTGTCGCCCACAATAATGTACAACATCAGGGTAAGTTACAATCATGATGGTTGAAATAGCGGCTTTACTAGAGGATTGGTTTACTGGGGAGGCGCGTATACCTTAGCATAATACCGCCTATAACTCCGTCTCTGACTAGAAAATTTCGATAAACATAATTATCAACTCGTTTCTGCTGTCTACTAATGCAAAGCATTCTTGTAAAAAACAATTTCTATTCAACGTATCTGATAGCACTATGTATCTTTCTGAATTGGAAGGGCCCGAACTTTTTGAAAGTGGTTTAAAATATGTATTATAAAAATGTACACTTTGAGCAAATGTATGATCCAATTTATTCGTGTACTCCTAATGTATCATTTAAGTTTGCATGTTTATATATTGAGAATCCGATTATGCTAGTGTACTCGAAGTGAGTATTAAAGAGTTTTCTCTAGCCAGAAATATAGAACTCAGATTTGTTGAGATTACTCTTTTTGTTGTTTGACTCCTTCAGTCCTCAGTAGTTCATGCGTGAGATTATGTGTCCCCAAATCTGTGGCCGACAAAATTCTGCGTTTTCATCTAAAAAAACCCTCTTTATTTGACAGAATTGTTACAGACTACCTTATTCTAGGAAATGAACAATCCACATTGACAACGCGAAAAAAAATTACTTTACACTAAATTAGACTAAATTAACGCGAATTTTTCCAAAGTTAGGTTTACATGCATCAAATTAACACGAATTTTTCGATGAGCATGTTACTTTATTCAAGCCAAATTTGCTAACGAAACAAAATCTCAACATACTTATATCTCAAGGGGAAAAAGAATCATTTACAGTCATTGTTAGTTATGTTAATGTTCAGGTTATTACTTTGTAAATGGATCTAGCGAGGAAACATTCCCTTGGATTCTGGCGTGTTCGATTTTAAAAGAATCCTGTCAGATAGTGAACCTGTGGAGTCAATAGGGGATTCATGAACTAATGAGGTTTTGTAATGAAATAAAGGTGCTTTAGAATAGCAATGTTGTAAAATAGTGTGCATTGAATTTACTTCGACGTTAATGAAGATACATTAGATTAGAATTTTTAACATCCCGTTAATAAAGTACATTGTTAATTTCCTAGAATAAGGTATTTATTTCTTAGGATTAGCATAGGTACAATACATGTCCCCATACATCAAGTACCTACCCTTGGGCTACATTACCAGCCGCTGTTCGGGAAATGAGCCCACCGACACCAGGGTTCACGTGATCAACAACATCAGTCCTCACCGGTCCCGACAACACCGCGGCAAAACGCAATGCGCATGAGCACAAAATTTAATATCCGGTCAGCTTTTTATTTCCGGTCTAGTATATAAACCAATAGCGTAAGCATAACTTTGCCGTCGCGCCAAGTTTAAAAGCAAAAAGGGCGAAACAGACAAAAAAGGGGGCCAAAAAAATCACTTCATTCGAAAGCTTATGTATTTTTCTATTCTCAAACTTTTGCACCACATGGTTATCTGTTTGCACCAACGGTGAAAATGATGTTTGAAGTTTGCAGGTCGCGAGCGCTCGACAAGACGAATTTGTTTTTACTGGCTTTCTTGCATGCTACTGGTTTGGCATAAGTTAATTTGGGAGAATGCGACAACTAAGAAAAGACTAACAATACTTATGAAAGAAACCAAAATAAAGACGTCATCATTATCATAAAAACACTAAAACCGGGAAATAAAATTTTAGTCCGTTCCATAATTTGTTTTATTATCAGAGAAAACAAGAAATCAAAACAAAAGATGGGCGGGATTTAATAACAACTTTGACTTTGATGACTGCAATCACCGGGAAACTAAACATGCCTATAAATGACTTTCATTCAAGAAAATACCTATTTAATTCTTTTACATGGTTGTTCTTTTGTTGAAGAGTTCAATAGTTTCAGACTGTGCGGCTCGGCTGCATCTCATGCAAACACGAAACTTCTAGCTGCTAAATACATGGCATGAAAAGTTTGACTTCTAAAAGCCACTGAACCAGCTTTCGCTCTCTGATTCTGAGAATGAAAAAATAAATAAATAGAGTTGTCAACTTGCTGCCAACCGGCTCAACAGTGTAATTAAGCTTATGTTTCATGGCAATCAACCCAGAAGAGTTTCGTTTTAAAACACGGTAAAACCCACTGGTAAACAAAACTACAAAGCGATTGTGTGTTGTCGTTTTCCAAATAAAGTTTGAATCGGCTGTAATACATGTAGACTGAGAAAGTGAAGAACTGAAAATTAGAACTACAAGACACAAGCTTGCAATGATAACGCTTTAATTTTATGTCTTAGTTTCAGCCAGGTTAAGTGAAAAATAACAGTCAAAAACTTTATTTTCGTGAATGAAAATCAGTTTAACTGACAATCTAGCGAAAATTACACACTGAGTTATTATCATCTTACCTTTTCTGAATCTAATCGACTAATTGTTTCAGTGATCTGTGCCTGGTTATCCATAAAAGCAATTTCAATAACTACAAAATAGTCAAAAACACGAGCAGCATAAAGCAGAACAACTGAACCACAAGCTGCACACAGAATGAAGCCGAGAGCGCGCGGGAGACTTTGATCTGACTGGAAAGTGTGACTGAAAAAGAGACCGGAAATGCTCAAGCTGGCGCATGCGTAGACGTTTTGCCGCGGTGTTGGTCCCGACAACACCGCGGCAAAACGCAATGCGCATGAGCACAAAATTTAATATCCGGTCAGCTTTTTATTTCCGGTCTAGTATATAAACCAATAGAGTAAGCATAACTTTGCCGTCGCGACAAGTTTAAAAGCAAAAAGGGCGAAACAGACAAAAAAGGGGGCCAAAAAAATCACTTCATTCGAAAGCTTATATATTTTTCTATTCTCAAACTTTTGCACCACATGGTTATCTGTTTGCACCAACGGTGAAAATGATGTTTGAAGTTTGCAGGTCGCGAGCGCTCGACAAGACGAATTTGTTTTTACTGGCTTTCTTGCATGGTTTGGCATAAGTTAATTTGGGAGAAGGCGACAACTAAGAAAAGAATAACAATACTTATGAAAGAAAGCAAAATAAAGGCGTCATCATTATCATAAAAAACACTAAAACCAGGAAATAAAATTTTAGTCCGTTCAATAATTTGTTTTATTATCAGAGAAAACAAGAACTCAAAACAAAAGATGGGCGGGATTTAATAACAACTTTGACTTTGATGACTGCAATCACCGGGAAACTAAACATGCCTATAAATGACTTTCATTCAAGAAAATGCCCATTTAATTCTTTTACATGGGTGTTCTTTTGTTGAAGACTTCAATAATTTCAGACTGTGCGGCTCGGCTGCATCTCATGCAAACACGAAACTTCTAGCTGCTAAATACATGTCATGAAAAGTTCGACTTCTAAAAGCCACTGAACCAGCTTTCGCTCTCTGATTCTGAGAATGAAAAAATAAATAAATAGAGTTGTCAACTTGCAGCCAACCGGCTCAACAGTATAATCAAGCTTATGTTTCATGGCAATCAACCCAGAAGAGTTTCGTTTTAAAACACGGTAAAACCCACTGGTAAACAAAACTACAAAGCGATTGTGTGTTGTCGTTTTCCAAATAAAGTTTGAATCGGCTTTAACACATGTAGACTGAGAAACTGAAGAACTAAAAATTAGAACTACAATACACAAGCTTGCAATGATAACGTTTTAATTTTATGTCTTAGTTTCAGCCAGTTTAAGTGAAAAATAACAGTCAAAAACTTTATTTTCGTGAATGAAAATCAGTTTACCTGAAGCTCTAGCCAAAATTACACACTGAGTTATTATCATCTTACCTTTTCTGAATCTAATCGACTAATTGTTTCAGTGATCTGTGCCTGGTTATCCATAAAAGCAATTTCAATAACTACAAAATAGTCAAAAACACGAGCAGCATAAAGCAGAACAACTGAACCACAAGCTGCACACAGAATGAAGCGCGCGGGAGACTTTGACTGGAAAGTGTGACTGAAAATGGGACCGGAAATGCTCAATCTGGCGCATGCGTAGACGTTTTGCCGCGGTGTTGGTCCCGACAAGGGTCCCGACAACACCGCGGCAAAACGCAATGCGCATGAGCACAAAATTTAATATCCGGTCAGCTTTTTATTTCCGGTCTAGTATATAAACCAATAGCGTAAGCATAACTTTGCCGTCGCCCCAAGTTTAAAAGCAAAAAGGGCGAAACAGACAAAAAAGGGGGCCAAAAAAATCACTTCATTCGAAAGCTTATATATTTTTCTATTCTCAAACTTTTGCACCACATGGTTATCTGTTTGCACCAACGGTGAAAATGATGTTTGAAGTTTGCAGGTCGCGAGCGCTCGACAAGACGAATTTGTTATTACTGGCTTTCTTGCATTCTACTGGTTTGGCATAAGTTAATTTGGGAGAAGGCGACGACTAAGAAAAGAATAACAATACTTATGAAAAAAACCAAAATAAAGACGTCATCATTGTCATAAAAAAACACTAAAACCAGGAAATAAAATTTTAGTCCGTTCAATAATTTGTTTTATTATCAGAGAAAACAAGAACTCAAAACAAAAGATGGGCGGGATTTAATAACAACTTTGACTTTGATGACTGCAGTCACCGGGAAACTAAACATGCCTATAAATGACTTCCATTCAAGAAAATGCCTATTTAATTCTTTTACATGGTTGTTCTTTTGTTGAAGACTTCAATAATTTCAGACTGTGCGGCTCGGATGCATCTCATGCAAACACGAAACTTCTAGCTGCTAAATACATGGCATGAAAAGTTCGACTTCTAAAAGCCACTGAACCAGCTTTCGCTCTCTGATTCTGAGAATGGAAAAATCAATAAATAGAGTTGTCAACTTGCTACCAACCGGCTCAACAGTATAATTAAGCTATGTTTCATGGCAATCAACCCAGAAAAGTTGCGTTTTAAAACACGGTAAAACCCACTGGTAAACAAAACTACAAAGCGATTGTGTGTTGTCGTTTTCCAAATTAAGTTTGAATCGGCTTTAACACATGTAGACTGAGAAAGTGAAGAACTGAAAATTAGAACTACAATACACAAGCTTGCAATGATAACGTTTTAATTTTATGTCTTAGTTTCAGCCAGGTTAAGTGAAAAATAACAGTCAAAAACTTTATTTTCGTGAATGAAAATCAGTTTACCTGACGCTCTTGCCAAAATTACACACTGAGTTATTATCATCTTACCTTTTCTGAATCTAATCGACTAATTGTTTCAGTGATCTGTGCCTGGTTATCCATAAAGGCAATTTCAATAACTACAAAATAGTCAAAAACACGAGCAGCATAAAGCAGAACAGGTCAGAACAACTGAACCACAAGCTGCACACAGAATGAAGCTAAGAGCGCGCGGGAGACTTTGATCTGACTGGAAAGTGTGACTGAAAAAGAGACCGGAAATGCTCAAGCTGGCGCATGCGTAGACGTTTTGCCGCGGTGTTGGTCCCGACAATCATCGCAAAATCTTGCCTAGTCCCTGTACGGCGTTTTCCCAGTCCCTCTCGGTCAATTCGTTTCGGTGACGTATCCGAGGCGAACGGGCGGGAAACGCCTGATATTTTCGCATGGACCACGTGATCCGAAACGCTTTGGCCGCGAGGAAAAATGAGGCCTAGGGACTAGGCAACGCAAAATCTACTCAGGGGCACCTAACGTCCATTTTTGGAAAATATCTGTACGGAAGACGATTTGAGATCTAGAATTTTCGGAACATTTGTTGTAAAATTTCTTGCTTGCCTGCCTCTCCTAGGATTTTCGAACATCTAAAAAATGGTATAGCTGCCTATTTTTAACGGATTTTTACCGTAAAAAGGTCACCTAGAATTTTAGGGAGACTTTTCCTGGCTGAAATGTTCGAAAAGGTAAGTTTTGATCCCTATAATTTTCAGATCACTATACTTTCAGCTAGGAAATCCGAACAGATGAAAAATTTTTAGGGGATAAAAATATTCCCATAAGTCAACCGTTTAAATACTAAAATACGATCAACAATGCTATGTCTAAGTTGGGTGCCTCTGATCTACTCACTTCAGTCATTTATTTATACCCTGGCTCTAGAGATCCGTTCTTAAAATATCTGGTATATGGAAAAAACCGCGGACGCGGTTTACAAAAGCAGATCAAGGATAATTTAGTAAAGATATTTTGAGTTTACTTGTGTAGTTCTTTTCTTAATTACTTTCTTTGATTCTAAGAAACAAAATTTTAGGTGAATAATGGGGGTATTGGTTACTGATTGAAAGGTTGTTCTTCTTTCAATTCTCTTTTTGCCGCAGAAAATATTCCCACAGAAAGGACAAATTAAACTCGCTTTTAGGTCGCGTAGATCACAGGTTTGTTCGTGTATACGTATTATAATTAAAATCGCGAGCCGGAATGGAAGGTGGAGTGTCTTTATTGGAAAGTAAAATTTGTCAACTTGCCACCTTTTTATATTTTTTCTCCAGTGTCATTCCTTTTCCAGACCATTGGAATTCGACAAAAGTAAACTTTAATCAGATTAGAGAAAAGTAAGTGCAAGGCTGGACTGCGAGCAGTCTCTTATTTTTCTTTTCCGTCACGGTAAAATGCAATAACGCGCGCGGAGCAAGCGGCAAAGCCGCTTGGAACGAAGCGTTATTATTATTATTATTATTATTATTATAAAAATAACAAACCAATCTTTTTTTAAGTATCAGAACAATAAGTAATATTTATAGTTTTAAATTATATCGTATTGTTTACAAATTAAAAACTAAATATATGTCCACGATAGAAAACTATTTACAATTGCGAATAATTTAAAAGTGGGAAAAGGAAAATCAAGCATTACTATGAAAAAAACTATCAAAAATCTAGGCCTAAAATTATGAATGCAGATATAGACCAACTACAGCGAAAGTAAAGTCTATTATTCTTCTTATTTTTTTAATTTAATTTGTTTTTTGGCTTCTTTGCTTCTTTGGCTCGAGAGAGAACGAAAAAAAAGAAAACGCCTTCCTCCCGAAAACAGATTACAGAGATATAAGGGGGATGGAGGGCTTGATCGCAAGATCGCAGGCTAGCACGAGGGGGACTAAAAACCAAACAGGTTAGTGGCCATTGGAATGCTGGGAAAGAAAACTCCGCCGACACGTGAAGCCGCTCTCTTTCTTCGCGGCCATCTTGAAAACTGTGGTAGCAAGATAACTGCTACAAGAAAACTTTCAAAATGGGTCGTCTTCACGCGCCAGGGTAAGCTAAAACCGAGTGATAACAAAAGAGGAATAGTTGCAGCAAAACTACGACTTATTAAAAACCATATTGTGGCAACTGTAGAGGCGTTCGGTTTCCTTGAATGTTTTGCAAGAAGTGTTGTTAAACTCGTGGTTTTGCGATCTAATTTAGTGATTAATTTTCCTGTTTCTGCTAAAGGAAAGGTATATCTGGTTCAGCATTGCCATACCGCAGAAGTGTTCCAACGGTAAGAAATTTAAATTTCGCGGATTAATTTAAGCTTTGAAGGTATCAAACATTCACATTATTAGCATTGATACCATTTAAAAATAATGTGAATGTTACGTTCGTGTGTTATTTGTCGGATTGGTTCGTATTTTGGCCCTGACGAGAGTTTATCTTAGCCCCAAAACCACATATTTCTCCTCATCATTTCTAATGGACCTGTTTCTCCATAGTATTTTTAACCTTACCACATTTTCAAGTTAGGCGCAGTTCAGACGTCGTATTTTTCATGTGCCGTACCTAATCCCTTCAATTAAGTACATGAAGAAACCGATGTTTGAATCAATTTAGTCCAACATGTCTAATTTGGGTCGATCCATCCATGAATGAAGATCGAGTGGCACACATGGGAATTTCGACTGTGGAGCAACTTCGTTTCAAACATCGGACTTCTCATATGCCGAACCTAATGCACAAATTACTGCAACTTATTTTCTGTTGTAAGCATGTTAGACCATTAAACATTGTCATAATGAATTAGAAATCAACCATTGAACTTGCATCATTTGGGTCAACCTAAAGAGGTATTAAGTTCAGTACATGAAAAGATCAATGGTTGAATTGGGCCTGTATTTGGCTTGGGATATTGTACACTTTGGGAGCAACTACAGAATACAGGGCCATGTTTTTAAGGTCTTAAACAGAAGTGGCTCGGTGGCTCGCTAGTCACGACAAGTGTTTAAAGAACGAGAAAGATATAAGACATATAAGTATAAGACAGACATAGAAGGCATGTACTTTAGTATGTATTATAGCAGATTATAGGTATATATTTTAGTGGCTCGGCGGCTCGGTGGCTCTTCAGTCGAGGTTATATAGTTTAGTGGCTCGACAGCTCAGTGGCTCGTTAGTTGGGAGTACCGAGCCACCCCAACGAATATACCTGGAAAATTTGCCCTGTATTCTGTACTTAAGCCACACTTTGGTTAGCATGTACAGCATCCCTGACAGAGCGTGCATAATGCTGGTGGTATTATGATCTATGACATCATTGTTTTCAAAAACCTCCATTTTTATCTGTCCACACATAAAGGATAAGCAGGCATTTTCAAAAATCTCCACTCTGGGGACTGTGTTTGAAAAACCTACGTTTTTAGTGCCCGAAAAGGTTGTTTACAAGGGAATGGAAGGCTGAAGCAGGGCGAAATAATTTGTCTTAAAAAATATCCAGAAATGTGTGGACAAGGCCTTAAAATCTCACATTGTCTTATTGTTACTTTGTGCTGTTTGTGTACTAGTGGTTGAAGTTGACATCAGATGATGTTAAGGAACAAATATACAAGCTAGCCAAAAAAGGCTTGACACCTTCTCAAATAGGTTAGTATAGAGCTGGGTTTGAAGGAAGCACCTGGAAATTTGCCAAATGCAAGTGTAAATCTCTCTGGGAAAACTGTAATCTTTTATCATAAGAGCACATTACCTGAGTGACTTGCCTGATGGCCAGGGTTTTGGAAATGGTGAATAAAGCAGACTTCTAGGGCCCAATACAACAGCTGGTAAATGGACAATGTCCAGCCAAAATGTTGATTTGACTGGCTAAAAAATTTACTCATCTGTCATGTTGACCACTCAAAGCTCACAGTAGTCAGCAACTTAAATCTTAACAAAACAATTTTTGACCCCGCTAGATGTGGTAGATGCTATGTAGGAAACTTTACTCTGGGTCCTGGTTGGGCAGATGTTACTTTGGCAGTCAACACAGTCATCTTGTTAAGAACCATCTTTGAGCTTCCATTAATATTTAGCAAATCAAGATGACTATCCTTTCATTGAGCGACTTTTTGAAGGGTGTAGCTATGACTAGAACAAGTAAATGATAGTTTGGAGATTACGGGCTGTTATTGGTGCGGCACATCAGAGGAAAACCCTCTGAGGAAAATGAAATCCTCGTTCCTTGCTCAGTATTTTTTAAAAATATTTTTGCTCAAATAGGTGTGATTTTGCGTGACTCGCATGGTGTTGCGCAAGTGCGCTACATTACAGGAAACAAGATCCTCAGAATCCTTAAGGCAAAAGGTAATTTTTACAGAGTGTCCTGGATACTTTTTTCTGTCTCCTCGTTCTGGTGATGAAATTATGAAAACTGATTGTGCAACACTTTATTTTTTTATCAGGGCTTGCGGGAAGCCTTCCTGAAGATCTTTACTTCCTGATCAAAAAAGCAGTTGCTGTTCGTAAACATCTTGAAAAGCATAGGAAGGTGTGTGTTATAATTAATTTTGACATTAACCCATTCGCCCCCGAACTGCCCGTGCAGATCCACTGCCATACGATGAAAAGCTTGTTCCACTAGGCCACAAAGATTGAAGTGCACAACCTGCAAACAACATTTTGGTTTAATAGCCGGACAGTGACCAGAAAACAGTTTGACTAGCTTCAAAACATGTTTTTTTGGAAAAGTTCTTAGGGGCAAGCGAGTTAATGGACTTAGATGAGAATCTTTTTAACTTGTGACGCAGGGCTGTCATTAAGAGCCGGGGGCCGGGGACTTCCCCTGGCTACTATGAGTGTGGCTCCCGGCTACTTTTATTGCAAAATAGAAGAAAATTAGAACCAAAAGAAACCCCCAAGTGTTCAATTCCCCGCCTACTTGTTGTATTTACCCGGCAACTCGAAATCTTAGCGACAACCCTGTATGACGTTGTTTCTTATGAAGCATGTTCAAAAATTATTGAAACTATATGTATTTGCTGTTTAGGACAAGGATTCCAAGTTCAGGCTTATTCTCATTGAAAGCAGGATTCATCGTTTGGCGCGTTACTACAAGACCAAGAGAGTTTTGCCTCCAAACTGGAAATAGTAAGAACTACTCCTTGTTATGGTGTAACATAAGTTTCAGAAGAATGCAATCCTGGAGTGTCAAAAACGCCTCTGATTTTACTGAAATTCTCCAAAATCCCAGAGAAATAGAAAATGAACAGTTTGTTACAAATTGTCTAAGTCAATAAAACTGTAACTTCTCACACATTGAAATGTGATTGTAATACAGTTGGTGATCAGGACACCTAAGCAAACCACAAATTAATAACTGTTACCATTACTGTGCAGTTATCTCGTGTGATTGGCCTCTCCTAAAATAACTTTCCAGTACTCATATTCTTAGGTTCGTAGTAAAGTTTCTTAAATTGGGTGCTGGAATATATCTGTCCAAGTATACTGTCTGGTTACTGATGAAGAAAAATCTTGCAATGTAAAGCTTGAAAAAAAACTTCACTCCAGTTTTTTTCTTTGGACAAGCAGCTCTTTAAACATGTTTCGTTTAAAAATAATTCTGTTGAAAGCCAAAATTGCCTGAGCTCTTGCCTTTCTGGTGAGCAAGGGTGAAAGCTTCTGGTCCAGCTAGAAATTCTACTTGTCCAAGATGACAGAACAGGATTATTTTTAGCCCTGCAAAGTACAGGTTGTAGATGTGTTGTTGTTAAGTGTGGGAAAAATCTGTCCAAGTGCTTAAGGCTAGAAAAGTGCCAGAGAGAGTTTGTTTTCAGTTTGGCATCACAATAATTCTTCCTTGTTGGGTTTGTTACATTGGGTGAAATAGGGCGAGTTTTCTTGTCTGTTCGTTCTTTGGAAATAATTTATATAGCCTCGGTATTGAGAGCAAACTTCTTAACTGGTTGAGGCATTTCCTCACGTGTAGAAAGCAACGAGTTGTTGTAAGAGGGACTTTTTCTGATTGGGCACCTGTGATATCTGGTACCCCACAGGGAACTATTCTTGGTCCAATTTTATTCCTATCATATATAAATGATATCGCTGATAGTGTCTCTTCAAAAATTAAATTATTTGTGGATGACACAAAGATTTACAGAGAGCTTCGCAACCCTAGTCTCGATGAACAATACCTTCAAACTGATTTGAATAATCTTGGTAAGTGGGCGAAAAAATGGCAACTTCGTTTCAATGAGGAAAAGTGTGAAGCAATGCGAATAATGCATTCTCGTGACAAATCAACTGCGAATTATAAACTAGGTACGGCCTTTAAAGATGTCAAGAGCTTTAAAGATCTTGGAATTATTATATCAAAAGATCTTACTTGGAGTGAACATATTAGTACTATGGTGAAAAAGGCGAACCAAGTCCTAGGGCTAATAAGACGGTCTGTTGGAACAGCTAATACAACAACTTTTTCATTGCTTTACAAAACATTGGTCAGACCACTTTTAGAGTATGCTGCTCCAGTCTGGAACCCATATCTTGTCAAAGATATTCATGCAATAGAGAGCGTGCAAAGACGCGCGTCAAGATTAGCTCTTAGGCAAAAAAGAGGTGATATGTCTTATGAGGAACGTTGTGACACGTTACATTGGCCATCTTTGTCCAGTCGTAGGACATAATAATTATTATTCCTCTCTTGTTGAATGTTATAAGATCGTGTTTGGCTTATCACACTTGGATTTTGAGGAATTCTTTCAATTCGCAAAAGTCAAATCCACTAGGGTAAATCACTCGTATAAGCTTTATTGTAAGTTATCTAGAATCAACTGTTTTAAATATTCTTTTTTTACAATTACAATGTAATTAGTTATTGGAACAATTTACCTAGTAATGTTGTTGAAACCGGTACCCTTGAACTTTTTAAATGTAAACTCAAATCCTTTTTAAAGTTGTAATTTTTATTGTTTGTTTGTTGTTTTTAGGAGAGTTTTATTCATAGGGTTAACCTCTAGACTCTCCCTTTCAAATTTATGTAGTTATATATGAGTTTGAATAAACATGTATGTTATGTTATGTTATGTCATTTACTGCAAATTCACCTCATATAAAACAACCACTGATAAGTACTATATTTTTCTCTTGTTTCAGTGAGTCATCAACTGCCTCAGCTTTGGTTGCTTAAGCAAAACATGTAAACAGTAAATCAAATAAAATCCTCAAATTGAGTTAACCAAACGTTTTTGTTTTATTTTATTTTTATGGTAATAAATAAGGAACATCACCTCATCTATAAATCTGTTGGCTGATGTCCAACAGAATTAAAGTAAGCTGGCTATCAACTGACAGTCAGTTGACACTCAGAGATATGTTCTAAAATTAGTATCTTATAGGTTATAGCATGATTTGTACATGATATTTCAAAATTGTCTCAAATTTCACTTGCCTAACAGCTCGTGAAATTACGGATAACAATTTTGAAATATCATGTACAAATCATGCTATTATTTGTTTATACTACTACCCTCAAAAAGGTTTGTAATTTTCACATGTAGGTATTTCAAATTGAGCTGAAATACCACTGCTCCAAGCCAATCAACCCGCAGAAATTTCTCATGTAGGAGTATAACTACAAAAATGTTAGGGTTTATTACGGGTTGAGTTTTTACTTTTGCCAGGATTGTGTTAATCACACTCTGATATTCGTTGGCTTCTTTAATTCATTTGTTTCTGGACATGAGCCATGGGATGTAAACATTATTATATCTTTTCAAGGGTTGAAGTGAGGTCAGCAATTGGGTGTGGCATGTGTGAGGACACCTACTCCTGCAATCAACCAATCAAAACCTTGCGTTGCAGGCTTATTTGCCATGCAATCTAACACTTATTATATCCTGTGTGTAGTTGCCTTCTTTGTCTTTGAAGTGTGATAGTAACTCTGGCATCAGGATTCCCTCGCCTGATCATATTAATATTACGCAGATTCCTGATGACAGTGACAATGCCATGTGCAGATCTGAAAACCTAATTTAACAATGGCAGAGTAAAAAATTGAGCATCTGAGTCACGTTCAGTCCTTTCTGTGTGCTTTTGAATGCGTTTTCATTTGACGGCGTGTTGTCTTTGTTTTTTTTCTATCATTGTCCGCTGCAACTGAAGCAAAATCTACTGTATGAGCACTACTACTGTGTATTTTTTTTATCAATTTTATCTCCAAGGTGCAAAATTTTTCTCCTCAGTGGAATTTTTTTATTAATGTTTTTGATTAAGGGACCCAAGTTACTTGGTATGAGTCAGAGCAAATCAACCACCAATGCAAATACAAAAAAAAAATACATTACAAAAAGTGTCTCATGGAGCTTAATTAAACTTTTTTTGTTCACCACAAGAACTAAGAATCTACAGGGTTTGCATGCACCTTGAAAGTTCTTGAATTTTAAAATAAAAATTTAAGGCCCCTTGAAAGTCCTTTTAAATTGCATCCAGTGCTGGAAAGTCCTGGACTTTCAGTGCCAACTTTATCCGACCCAACAAACACAGAAAGACCTTCAGGATAAAATTGCTCTTGTTGTGGAAGAACTAAAAAAGATGTAGACTTGAAGCTCTTTTTCCTTGAAATTTTTGTTCAAAAAAGGGTACGAACCCTGAATCTAAGAATCCCAACAATCATTTCCCACGAAACACCAAAAACTAATGCATTTGGAAGATTAATCTCCTGCAAAAAACCAATAAATAACTATTTGGGGTCACAAAGTCTCCACAGTATTTCCATTCAAAAGTAATATCTGTATTGCTTACAACAACAATGCCAAAGCACTGTTGAGATAAGGATACCGTATGATAGGTGTTTGATTTAATAAATTTTAACTCTTTAGCTATAAACATATACTTACGAAAATTTCAAATGCATAATGTGAGAAAAACTGTGAAAGTGCAACATTTGGTCATAAAAGTTGTCCTTAAAGAATTTTCAGCTTCCAATACACCATTTTACCTTGTACATTTTTCTCTCCATTTGCAGAACATCTGAGGTTACCCCAGATAATTTAATGTTTCTTTCAAATAATAATTAATGTTGTGCTTTCCACATTCATATTCGTGCATACCGTATTTATTCGATTAACCGCCCTGGGTGCTTATTAAATTTTTGGACCTTGAGAGTGGGCGCTTATTCGAGGCTGGGCGGTTATTAAATTTTCACCATTTTCAGCAATTAGTGTAGTATTTTTATTTTGCAACAAAACAGTAAATGCCAGTAACAAAACGCGAAGAAGTAACAAAGCAAGGTTTCTGTTAAATACTTGGAAGAACACTCCGTCTGCGGGGAAGTCTCTTATTAGTACTTATTCAATTTCAATTTCATCTCATTATCGCTCAAGTAGGTGGGGTGGGGGTGGGCATTAATTGAGTTTGATTGGGAGGGGGAGGGGTGGGGTGTTTGCTTATTCGAGGGTGGGCGCTTATTAACTTTTTCTGCCTTTAGGATGGGTGCTAATTCGAGGTTGGGCGCTTATTCGAATAAATATGGTAATTAGATTCAAGAAGAAACCAAATCTCTGGGACAACATCACATGGTCTCAATTGGGAAAATAACAACTACAAAAGTAAAATTGCCTACTTTAGAGCCCATGATAACACAACATACCGTAAAATTCTGAAAATAAGCCCTGTGGCTTATATTTTGCAAAGGCCCTCTTTGAGGGGCTTATTTTTGGAGGGGCTTATCTATGAAGGGAAATTTGTGTTCCAAATCGATTGGGCTAGCCTTGGAAGGAAATTTACCGTTTTTGCTTTGTTTTTCTTTGTATTTGAGGGCAATTTCCAAGTACAAGCCCCCAGGGGGCTTATATTTGGAGGGGCGATTTAACAGAGAGTTTTTTGCATTATGAGTTTGGGGAGCTTATAAATGGAGGGGGTTATTTTCGGAATTTTACGGTACTCATTTCTTTTCCTCCCTCCAATCGATAACTTTTTAGGGGCTGCCCTCTGCCAAGCTTCTGCAATATACGCATTTCTAGTTTTGTTACAGTGTAATATTTTCATCCAACACTTAATTCCAAGTGGTAAAGTCTTGTCATAAAAACAATGTGCAAGGTTTTTGGTGGTCTAGGGATTTCTTTGATTTTAACCCCTTACATTTAAAAACAGTCCCTTTTCCAGGGTTTCTGAGTCATTCAGACAGGATGTTATTGTTCAAGTTTCAACTTGGGAAATTTATTTGCTTTATTAAAGTGCTACTGAAGCGAAAATCAATCCACTGTAAAAAACGATTAATTATTACTTCGATTCCATTACATGCATTTGTTACGAAATTAAGATGACTGATTTCAGTAAAACGGTAGATCTGTGCCTGTAATGGCCACCTTTATAATCTTTTAATAGAAATATAACTGAGCTTAGTTGTTTTATTATCTCCAAAAAAATACCTGACTAATACACTCCTCCGACATTGCCAAGCAATATTGTTTCATCAACTCTTAACCCACAAATGTACATGCTAATTTACTTGTACGTAGCCTGTTCCAGGCTCCGAGATAGTCGTGAAAAGTCATTCAGTAAAAAGAAATGCCATTTTTCTCGCCACCACCGCCCCCTTTCCCAAATCGCGTGCGTCTTATTTTTGCTTTGTTCGTTTTAATACATCCGCACTATACTATCTGAGAGCCTGGCACAGGCTAACTTGTACCCAAAATACATGCACCCTGCCCCCTTTCCACCTCGAGTAATGTTTTGAAAGAGGGTGACAATATACACAAGGCAACAAGTCATTGTGACAAACCAGTTCATGTTTATAGGTCATGCTGCCAGTCTCTGTGATGTCAAGCAGGGACACACACCTTAGTATGCATTAAAGTATTTTTGTTAAAAAAAATTGTCTATTTGACAAGTCGCACAAATTCAAACTCGTTTCACACCAGTAAAATGCTGATAGCATTTTGTCTATCCCAGTAATAGTAAAATATAACAAAAACAACCTCAATATAACAAAACCTCCTTATAGCATACAAATTATCCCAGTCGCTTGGGCCTTCCGGGTTCACATCCGGGTTCCACTGTAATGAGAACTCGTGTATTCTCTACATTGTTGTCCCCTCATCAGACTGTGACATTTCATTCATTCATTCATTTGTTCATTCATTCATCTACCCCTCTGCTAACCCAAAATAAACACTAACTTCTCACTCAGGGCAAAATGTCAGGTTCAATTATTGGAAACAAGATTTAAGCCAATAATGAGCTTCTCCATGGGTATCTGTGGACATCATTGCATATTTTGCCATCAAATCGTCACACATCAAGAATTTTTCTGTGAGGTAAAGCTGCTTGTGAGCTCGAGCTACCATGACACTGATGATCAAAATAAAAACAATAAAAAAAGCAGCAGCTTTAAGCAAAACAAGAACTCTGAACTTGCTGCACACTTCCTGGCAGATTTCTTTAACACCTTCGTCGCTCGACTTATGTTCTCAAACTTGACCAGAATGGCAATCATCGCGACTTGGATTTTGTCATAAATACCCATAGAGAGTCTTAATGATCACCCATAAAAATTATCTGGATACTTAATTAGATGGGATTTGAATTTTTTTGTGTAATAAGTTAATGATATTTTTCACTACTTCATCCAACCAATTTTATGAAAAAATTAAAAATAGTGGATAAGGAAGGAGAATTTATTTTGAATGACTGAATTGGATTGTAAAATCCTTGTTTGCTGTGGAAAAAAATTCTGCTTTCAAACACAGTATTAAAGGTAATTAATATTTATATTTTTCACATTTGTAAATGACTAGTTATTATTATAATGTTTTGGCAGTCTCTTTCATGTCCTCCCATGTTGAAATTCCCTGCAAGATAATGAAAAATAATGAAGTGTAGTCCATACATTGTAACCTACAGAAGTTCACAGTCTTACCGAAAAATTGAGGTGGGAAATATTTTCACCCATTTTTTGTAGATACAAAATAGCTGGTTAGCTTCAAAGAAAGACTTCTATAATGATGCATATGGTCAAGGTGAGTTGGAGATTTTTTTTTCTACAACAAATATCCTTTGCATTTTCTCTTAATAGAAGGGTGTTCCTTCATAGACTGCTTACAGTTGGCTTTTATTTTAAATAATAAAATAATATTATGTCTCTTAAATACAATCACCTCTCCCACGGACAGACACCTTTGGGACTGGTACTAAATGTCCATCTTAGAGAGATGTCTGTCTTATAGAGAGTCAAGTAAAGACAGTAAAGAAAGGCAGGGACCAGCTCTAGGTGTTTGCTTTATAGAGGTGTCCATCTCATGAAGAGTCGAATGAAGGGAGTAAAGAAATGCGGGGACCAACTCTAGGTGTCCATTAAGAGAAAGTCAACTGTAGAAAAATCACATACTGCACAAAAGGAAAAATAGTCTTGCCCTCAGTCCATTAATGTTTTTTTTGTAAACAGGCTCAACTGAAACCACGAGCCGGTTGGTTCATTTGTTGTAAATTAAAACAACATGCCTCTACCTGAAAAATTTCCTTCAAGATGTTGGAGTCACTTGCAAGTGAATGATATTATTTTAGTGTCAAAAGCAATTATTAAGTTTGCTGTCTGCTTAGTTTCTTGGTTACCAAAAAAAAAATGCAACATACCAATTTACATAGAGCTATTTGAGCCTTGATATGTGCTGCCAACACTCCTCTTAAATCACGCACTTCCTGTTTCCTGAAGCGTTCATAGTCTTTGACAGCTTCCTCATTAAAAACTCTAAACGACAAAGAAAATGCACTCAAAAACAGTTACCAAGATACACTTGAATTCCCATGTTTTTGTAAAACGAACCTGTATTTAGCAGACACACATTTCTAGCAGAGACTAGAGAGGGATCAAGGGTTCCACAGGTGTCTTCTTAATACAGGTTCTATGGTTTACAAAATAAATTCAACAGGTGCAAGACCTGGTTTGCCCAAGTAACCTTATAGAAACTTCTTGTCAGAAACATTATTTTTTGGAAAGATCAGCCTTCAGAAACTACGGCATTGCTTGGTGGCCATTCACAGAGACTCTTCTGAGACATGCATTCTTCGTAACATTTCTTCTCTTAGAAGCAGAATTTCTGCAAAAGTATTTGACATATCAGGCTTAAATTATCATACACAGCTAATTCTGTTTTGATCTATCATAAATCACAGTATCTATTTGGATAGCTTGATGAGAGAATGATGAGAACACAGAGGGATCACCATTTCACGAACTTCCTTATGTAAAGTATAATTATAAAACTTTCCCGAAGTCAAAGCACTGAATGAAATGATACTGACGATTGGTCCTGTTCTATAAACTGCCGAGTTTAAAATGTGCTACTGAATTAAATGTTCAGAGCATGTACTTTCCAGAGGAGCTATTGGTTTTCTTATAGGAGACATCACTGTTTACAAGTGATGTTTTTTTGTTATTCAAATTTGTAACGAGTCAAACAAAATAGTTTTTTGTTACAAGAACCAATGTGCTTCTGGTTGGCACATAAATATCAGTAGGTTACATCAGCTTGAGTAATGCTATACAATGTATTTTGCAAGAGGTAAAAAATGTATCAATTTTTTAACATTTGCTCTTGACATCCATGAGCAAAATTACAGTATCGTACCTAAGATCTTCTTTTGTTGTCTTGACAACCTCCTCAGCATCACTAATTTGTTCTTCCAAGTTGCTAATTTTGGTTCCTAATACTTCAGGAGACTCGGCTCCAAATATCATGGACGACAATCCCTTGAATGAAAAACCACTTGATTTGGGTGGGGTTTGTCCACTCTCTATTGCTTCCTGCAGCAAAACAAACATGAAGACAAAGGAAAGCAATCTATATGACACTTGTACCATCGGGAGCTGGTGACCCTGGGCCCAGTTCCTGAATGGCCGATTAGCGCTAATCCAGGATTAAAATGATTTTCACTTTTTGTATTTACTTTCTAATGCATTGCCTAAAGTAATATTTTGTGTTATCATTACTGTATCTCAGAGTGAAGGAGCTTGAGTTGCATGTTCTTACTTAATTTTGGGTTAAACTTAACCATCTTAGGAGGAGCCGAGCCCAGAATACTGGTGAATAATTTGGGGACCTCCTCAGAAAGTGTTCAGGCACGGATCCACACCGGTTTCCATCGTTTATGGAAATCAGTCTTATTTTCCATTACAAATATATTTTTAATAATAAAAAAAAGTTGAATCTGGAGAATAGTTTGGATGAAAGGGACTTTAAGTAGTTAAAATCCAAAACATTTCCTGGGATACATGCCCCTAGACCCCACTACAAGCTTGTGCCTTCGGCACTCATTTAGGAAATTGGTCAGTATTCATCCTAGACCCATGCCTGATAATCCAGGGCTGGCATTACGATTTCAAGTTGCCATGTAAGTGCAATTTATTATTATTAGGTGAGGAATTGAATGTACAACTGCAACATTCTTTTGGTTCTATTTTTGTTATGTTGTCTATGAAAGTAGCCAGGGGTAGTAGTAAGGGGAAATCCCCAGCCCCCGACTTTTAGTGACAGCCCTGGTAATATTTCTTGAGCCTGAATATAGCAAAGCCTTTTCAAGGTTGGTTTTATTGGCAGGGTCCAGACTTGTGAGTTCTGTTCAATCTAATAATAATAATAACTATTATTATTATTTACAGTCTTTTTTGCCTCTTCAATGTACAACTGTAGCGTCTGGTAAATTCATCAGCACAGATCCTTATTTGCGACCCTGCAGTCAGTGGTACCAATTTCAGTTTCAAAGCAAATACTCATTAAATTACAAGTGGTTGCTATGGAAACTAACTACTACTACTAGTTACATTAGTGCAATGACCTTTTGAGCAATCATGTCATCTCTTTGTGTCTTCTTTGTAGATAAATTGTCCTCTGCCTTTTCTGCATCATACTGACGAAGCTGCTGTCTATGGGCAACTCCCCTTGAAAACACACAATAAAAATAATACTTATTAAAACAATGACTGGAATCCAAATGCATCTGGGGTAATTCCTACAGTAACTGTTACTGCTATTTCCTGTTGAATAAATCTCTGAGCCCTCATGGTTCATTGAAAATGTACTTCAAACCTAAAACAGCAACTTAAACTTACCCATCTTTAGCACTTTATGTCATTATATTTATATTTTATTACAAATGATGTGATATTTTTTTGTGGCAAATAATCAATATTTTCCTGTTCAGCTGTGGTTAGCTACTTACTTTACTTTAATATACTTACTTTAAAACATCAGCAAAGTGCAAGTATTCCTTCAGCTGCTCTGAAAAGCTCATATCATCATCTTCAAGTACCTCATCAACAGATGCTGCAAGTCTGTTTCACATCAAAACGAACCCAAGGTAAATGGTTAACACATACAGTCATCTGGAATTTTATATTTTGAGCTTTGGATTGGGGAAAGGAGTAAACAGGGACGACCTTTATTAATGACCTACATGACAGACCTTCCAACTCTCACGGTTTGGCCTGTCAACTCACACTCTCACGATTTAGCCTCCAAATCTCACGATGAATCAGAAAATCTTGAAATTGCTGAACAATTCCAGTAGAAATCACTCACAAATATTCACGCTTTCGAAACTAGCAACCTCGCAACTCGCATGACTTTGCTGCTCCAATACTCTCACTTACAGATTTCCAAGCAAAAGAGAGACTGCTTGCAGCCTAAAAATAATATAAATATCATGGTTGAAGCTGCATGAGAAATGAAAAGATGAATTGACAGTCCACAAAAGTATTCTACAAAAAATAACAGTGGCCAGTTAAGTTACAGATTTTAAAACAGGCAATGTAACATTTAAAGCCAGGACCAGCTTTTCACAACTGTTTTTGAGTGATGTTTTCTTTGAGCAAGGAACAGTGCATAAACTATATTTTTCCTCATGGTTAACTGCATCTGGCATCTACCTGTCCATATAGTGACCTGACTTCTGCAATCCGTCACCCATCTCCTTCTCCAATGAACTCCACTCACTGTTAAAGACATTATTACAACAGCCTAGTCAGTTCGCTTTACAAGAGTAACAGTGCCTATATCCAGGCACTAGCTTCCAGAGGAGATTAGAGATTATCTGAATTTGGGTATTGTCTTTTAAATGTCTATCTTTATATACAATTATATGCTTTTGTTTTCTCCAAAATCAGCAATTTTCAAGTAACTTCGAACTGTAACTAAAACTTAGAGGATTTACAGAGACTGAACAAACATTAATATTTGGAATAAGAAAGACAACTTATTAATGTTCACTTCTGTTCAAAAATCATCATTGCCCTGTTTCTTGCCCTTGTATGACAATGACAGGGGTATGAAAAAACAGCATTATTAGCTGAAGATATTTATGGAAGTTACCTGAAGACTTTGCCATAGTTAGCATGTTGTTTGTGAATTGAATATACTATATCAGCCATGCGCTTTGAACAAGAAAGAAACAACAACACTCATTAGTAAACGAGTTGGTGAAAACAAGTAAACCCTGCTTCAAAAAATTAAGCAAACGCTGTTACCTGTCGAACTTTGATCATAGCCGCTACATTGGTGCCTAAATTTTCAGCATAATGCTTCATGTCTTCAAATCTCCTGGGAAGAAATACTACATAAATTAAAACAAAACTATAAGAAAGAAGGAAAAAAACAGGTGTTCGGCTAAAGAAGAATGCTTTCAAGCCGAAAATCTGTTCCTACCAAATTTACAGAGATGGCAGATAAATCATTATTCTGTCCATTACAAGCCTTTTCTTAGTATCCAAGTGTATTTTGTTCCATGTTTTCAAAATATTTATACTCTAATCACACTGAAATGATTATAAAATGTTTTGAAACTAATCTAAATAATCCCAAAGCACAGAAATAGGAGTGGGCATCTTGTTCATCTCTGGAGCCAGCGTTACAACATTACAGTCTCAGGGAAGACTACAACAGAAGGTCAAAAAAATAAAAAATAAAAATCAGGGATGACAGATGCCTCGAATGGCCCTTGCGTAACTTAACAAACCTTAAATAGTCTTTTAGTCCCCCCTCCCCCCTAGAGACACCTTACAAGCACTCCTTAAATACTCCAGACCTGCAGTCATGACATGCATGTAACATAGCGCACATACTCTTGTGAGACTAACATAACAACACAAAATATATTTGTTCAGACAAATGATGTTCTGGGTTGAACATGCATGTTCAGTTTAAAATGATAAATTGGCTGGGATAAACATGTACTATTTGGATGCATCCTTCCTAGAAATTAACTTATGGCAGTGCTACCTATCTGGTTCTTTGGCTGAAGCACTCCAACTTTTAAGCCTGGAGTCAACCTGAAAGAAATGACAAAGTATCAAAAAATTTTCTGTTGGAAACCTTGCATACATTGCACTTCATTAATGGGGAAACAAACAGAGAGATTATTATAGACCTTGCTTTGGTAATTTGTTGCTTGCACAGCTTCTTTCCAACCTTCCTCCTAGAATAAAAAGGTACAATACTCAAAAATCATAATTTAAACATTCAATTGTTTGAGTGAAACCTTTCAATTTTGTTTATCCCTGCACTCTTTAACTCTTCAGGATTGGCTATTGTGTTTTCTTCTTTAAAAAGTCCTGAACAGCTACCAGTTTGATTTCTTTACTTCAAAACGTAGCTCTAATATAATTCTGTATCATTAATTTTTTATTGAGCTTTTTCCTTAAATTTTACACTCAATAATAATATTCTTAATTATTATTATCCATCTTTATGTCTTTCAGAAAAATAACTGCGTTCGTCAGAATGCATCCTAATCTGGTGTTCCTGTGGCACTAAGGGAGAAATCTTAGAGCTATCACGGGTGACTGCAAATTAGCCTTCCCTATTAATTTCATCAGGGGCACCTCGGCCGAGAAACTTGACTCCTTTGACTTGATTTCTATTCCGTAATTTTTCCATAAATGACAAACGCAGATCCGTAATCAATGATTACCTCTAGTTTATTACATATGTCACCAGGGGCCCCGTGAGGCAGCAATAATATATTGCAAGTGAGCAGAGATAGTTGCTTACGTACCATACAAGAAATAGTACTTGCCCTAAACAAAAGGGTTTTTTGCTATTAATAATATTAAATATTATATTATCATAGTACGCTAGCAGCATGGTGAACAAAAATATCTAACTTTTCCATACAATGTGAGGTAGGTTGGCTTTACGCCACTGCTACATTTCCCATAATGCACCTTATTTGCCCCCCCAAATTTTGCATAACCTTTGTTTTTCATTTCTCCTGGGTATTACAGCCGTCCCAAGAGAAATTGAAAACAATGTTTATGCAAAATTTGGGGGGGCAAATAAGTTGCATATGGAAAAGACTGTAACTGTACTATGTAGACTCCTCTCTGAATAATAAATCAGAAGCATAAGTACCTGGTTGAAAAATCCAATGAATGTGAGATCCATTGATAACTGTGAATGTGCAGCACATCTTAAGAGAAAACTCTAAAACAAAACAGCAGTAATATGAATAATGGTAATAGGAACAAGTGGAGTCCAATAATTCAGTTTGTAATCATGAGAGATTAACAAAGTCGGACAGCTGCATAGCAGGAGACAAATAATTATTGGTTTAATCATGAATGCGATTACAGACCGAATCAGAAATGATCCAAATCCATCTTCACAACAACATGCAAGAGTGATGGTCTCACCAACAAGCTGCAAGCTACACATAAAAAGCTGGTAAAAATTTGAAAATAAATAAACCTGACACTGGAAGCAGACCAGCTGGCTCCCTGGTGGAGGAATCGAAACTTGCGACAAATGAGAAACTAATCCAGCCAGTGGTTAGGGTGGGTTTCAAACCCACGACTGCAGGATTGTGACTAGAGTGTCCTGAACTCTAAGCCATGCTCATCCCTTCCCCGAGTAATAAGCATCTGTGTTATATCGGATGTATGGTGTAGGTGTTGGTAAAAAGGAGTTATTGAATAACAAAGCCAACAACCTCTACTCCACTCATGCTTACCTCAAGAGCTGCTTTTCGTTTTTCTATAAAGTCTGGATCAAACTTGTCTGCTGCTATTCTCAATGCTGCAATTTTAATCTGGAGATAAACACAACAGCAAAATTTACAGGAATATATTTCACTTACTAAGACAAAAAATTGAAAATAATGCAATAAGAAAAGGTAATAAGACTGCATGGAGTCCTGTTTGTTCTGTAATCATGTGATTGATCAGTCCAATAATTATTTATTATTTCTTCTCATAAGAGGTATGAATATGGACAGAATTAGACGATACAAAGTTCTGTTATCAATGGAAAAAATCTATCAATCATTACTAAAACAAAAAAATTGAGGTAACAATTTGTACATGAACACCCCAAGAGTTTTTACTAGACATGAAAAAAAAAAACTCACTTATTTCATCCTACATTTATTGCAAGTGATGGCCTTTACTGTACAATAATATTATAATACTCAGACATGATATGTACCGTCCTATTATACTGTCTTATTACAGTCAAACCAGATCAAGCATACCCCCCAAGAATCCATTAATGAATTTATTATTCGAAGGTGGAATCTGTTGCTAGTTGTAGATTTCAGATTGATCTCTGCATTCTTGCACGCGTAATGAGCCCTGAATTCACACGCGAGGCAGTTATGAAATTTCTACCAGCTCAGTTTTCCTGAATTTGATGTAACTGTCTTCTAAGAAACTTAATCCATTCAAAGATTTTCAATCTGACCAAATACAGAGAAGTGCTCGTACAATATTCACTGCTCATTACGCATGCAGAAATGCCGCTTTGAATTTGACACCAGTTAGGGGAACCACTAACGGCTTCATTTTTCAAAATTTAATAATCTAATTTAATAATCAGGGCTGCCGATAGCCAAACAGAATAGACAGTTTTGTCATTTTTCCAAAAAACATACTTTATTTAACTCTTCTCAAAATGAAAATTAAATACAAATTTAGTATAACTATAGTTAAAAAAAGACTTCTTGGTGGTCTGGTGGTTTTCAACAGAGCAATACTAAACAACTGTCTATAAACTGAGAAATGAAAAATTTCTATGTACATCCCAATAATAAAGTACCTATACCTGTTGAGTCTAAGGAAGTCCTGCTTGACCCTTCTCTATTTCTAGATCACTGATTATGATTATGATCCCTGATTATGACAGTTTTGTCATAGTTATATGACTCAGGGTTGTCATTAAGAGCCGGGGGCCGGAGATTTTCCCCGGCTACTAAGAGAGTGGCCCCCCGCTACTTTTATTGGAAAATAGAAGAAAAATAGAACCAAAAGAAATCTCTAGCCGTTTGATTCCCCGCCTACTTGTTGTGTTTACCCGGCAACTTGAAATCTTAGTGACAACCCTGTGACTACTGAAAAATAATAATTTATTATAGTCCTTACCCTTTTTTCTGGCAGAGGGGGGACGACCAACTGAAAGAAATGTGTTCAAATGAATTTTAAAACTTACAAAATCATATTATAATTTAAGCTATCCATGCTTTTAACAATGAGAGATCAAGCTAAATAGCTTCATTATTATTATTATTATTACTATTATTATTGAAATGAAATCTTTTTAATTCGAATAAATTTTTCTTAGTTAAATTAACTCTTTCTAAGCTAAATTAAGTGCTTTTTAAATCGGCAGGAATTGTAAATAGTGTTTTGAATGAATAGGTTTTTCTTTTTTTCAGGGGAATTAATTGTAAATAGGATTATTATTATTATTATTATTATTAAGGACATACATGTCATACATGTAGCTTTTGTCTTTAATAATAATAATAATAATAATAATAATAATAATTAAAAGTGCTTAACGACATATGTAACTTTCAACAAAATTCACAGCTAAGAATTATCTTATGAAGTCAGGAAAAATAAGTGTACAAGGTGAAGAAGCTGAGAGGGTTACTCTGGATTGATAAACAACAACTAGATTAGATCAAAAGGCAGGAACACCTTTTACGTCTGGTGCAGCTCAACCTGGGGGTAAGTATGTGTAGGGAGCCCCTCACAGCTAACATTGTTCATAAGCAAACTATGGTAATGGATAAGGAGCTCACCCACCACCAACCCCTCTTAAGTCCCCTCTATAACATTTGCCCCGAATAGGGTACACACTCCTTTACAACTAATAAAGACAACAACAAACTAGACTGACAATTTATTTTTACTGGACACCTCTTGATGAGGGACTTCCACTTAAAGCTACGCTCACACCTATAAGAAAGGTACATGTAGACTGTAATATTATACACATTTTCCATCCATTTGCTTACCGCTGGAAAGTTTGCAACAAAATAATTTCTTAACAGTTCAAATTCACTATATCGTCTCCATATTGATGATGACATGTCAGGTTCCCCGGCTGGAGGACCTCCATCAATATACCTGAAAACAGTCATCAGAATAGTTTTATACTTTTATTGACAACACATTTTTGTTATTCCTATACTCAAGACAAATGTCTAACTTTACGATATGATTACAAATTAACCTTACTGTCAACTGTCAAAATTAACCTTACTGTAAACTATTTTTTAAAATTATTTAAAAAGTTTCGGGGCAACTATGGAATGGCCTTAGTAGCCTGCGAAAACAGCCATCTCTCTTGGCCACAGGGGATGTTTTACTCAGGGGCGGATGTCCCTCCTGAAAGATGGCTGTTTTGCAGACTTGGGCCTTCGCAATGCTTTACATTTTAATGATTACTATTCAAAGAGAAAGTTTGATCCCTAGAGATCAAATGCATTAATTTGTAAGGTCCTGACCAAGCTTCACATCTAGTTCTTTGCACACACGTCATTAATTTTTTCATGGTAGACAGCAAGAGCTAGCCATGAGGGAATCTGGATCTTTTGGGATCTCCTTTGGAAAAGCTCATCAGAGCTTGCTGAGATCTACTTCATCAAACACCAAATGTACAATATTAAATTTACAATGATGAGATGGGTGAAAAAATCATCTGCATGCTGAGAGCTAACTGTGTTTGAACCTTACCGAGAAAATCTACTTGGTGATTTCCTTGAAGCAAATCCCCTTTGTGAATATTAAAGCCTTCATGGGCTCTCACGCTTAATTAAAACATTGAAATCACCGAGAATTTAAATAATAGTGCCGGCAGGGGTGAAAATTACCCTGACCAGTCACCCCACCCAAATAAAGACCCCTTGGAAAAACCCCGATGGATCCGTTTATTGACGTTGACTGATCAAACGAGAACTAGGATCAGTTTAACAAGACCTACGCAGCGTTTGAGCAATCCGTAAACCTTTTTAACAACCATGGCTTAACCTAAATTTTCATCGAGTGATAAGTCTTGTAAATAAATGGGTACGATAACAAAATTACTTGTTACTCTAACTCACTTGGTTTCGATGAGATAAACGGTGTAAGGTTCCTTGAGGATATCAGTGTACCTCTTCTCAGAGTCAATTATCGATATGGTCATTGTATTTAAAAGACTTCCTTCGGGAAAATATTGTACTTTCCTCGCTGACTCTTCCCCTAAATAGTCCGCCATGATGTTTTTCCTCGCTGTCATTCAACGCATGCGTACTGTCGTGTCAGCGGTATCGTAGAATCCAAAATGGCGGATAAAGGTGATAAAGGCGCTGAAAAGAGTTTTTTAGCTCGAACGGCGAGCATTACCACCAAAAGAGCCAAAAGAGCTCAAGAAAAGGTAATGTAACATCATTTTATTCTGTTTCCATGGCTTTTAAAGGTGGGAGCATGATGATCAATTGCCCTCGGAGTTGACATTTGGGTGGTGTTTTGATCCGGTTATCTTGCAATAATTGGCAATTGAAATTTGCAGAGAGGTCTCTAATTTTGTCGTTTTTTAATCGGTTGTATTTTAGGTTATGCAAAAGCTTGGAAAAGCAAACGAGACGAAGGATTTAACTTTTGATGAATTCGTGACCAATTTTAACAAACAACAGGTAGGGGAACGCGTCCATAAGCTATCATAAAGAGCGGTATTGTAATCGAAATACATGTACTAGCTGTAGGCAATTAATCTAAGCCTAAGCTTGAAGAAATATGATTCGAAAGACTGTTTTTGCCGAAGTCTTCAACGCGACTTGTATTTGTCTTTATCTGGAAATATTTAATTTGTTACTTGATCGACCTTTTCAGTTAGCGTAACTCAAACGACAGCATGGAATTACTAGCGGAGTGGAGAAATGTACAATATAGAAGGAGAAATCAGCGCTTATTAATATTACACGTGTGTTCACTTGCTTGATAACAATAAGAAGTTTTATTTTCCACTTCATTTGTTAATCAAGTGGAAGAAAATTACCACATTTTATTTCATTTCTCACTGAGAAGAAGTAGATTGTACTAAACAGGTTATCTTATAGTTTATAAGATAAGAACATGCCTTTGAAATAAATTCTGATTCTTTTTGTACAGAGTGCAGCACAGAGGCTACATAAAGAATTAAAAAATTATTATGCTTGCATCAGAGGTGAGAAAAGAGATAATTTTTTTGCTAATAAAAATTGCTACTTGTAGTCAGAGATACCAGGCCAGCAGAGGACCTTCGGCCAGGGTTGTCATTAAGAGCCGGGGGCCGGGGATTTTCCCCGGCTACTAAGAGAGTGGCACCTGGTTACTTTTACTGGAAAATAGAACAAAAATAGAACCAAAAGAAATCCCCAGCTGTTTGATTCCCCGCCTACTTGATGTATTTACCCGGCAACTTGAAATCTTAGTGACAGCCCTGTTTGGCCCTTTGATCTTCCTAGATAAGTCCCACTTATCTAAGAAGATTGAAGGGCCTCTGCTTGCAGGGTAAGTCAAAGAATGAACAAGCAATAATAACCATCCAAGCCACAGTGGAGCCTTTGCAGAGAAACAATCACATGGTATAAAAGCACCTTGCTGGCAGGTTAAGCAGTCCTCTAACTTAGTGGTAAAGCAGTTCATGAGCTTAGCAGTTAAGTGGTCCTCTAGCTTAGCGGTTCACGAGCTTAGCAGTTAAGCGGTCCTCTAGCTTAGTGGTTAAGCGGTTCACAAGCTAAGTGGTTAAGCGGTCCTCTAGCTTGGCGGTTAAGGGGTCCTCAAGCTTAGCGGTGAAGCAGTTCATGAGCTTAGCAGTGAAGCGGTCCTCTAGCTTAGTGGTTAAGCGGTTCACGAGCTTAGCAGTTAAGCGGTCCTCTAGCTTAGCAGTGAAACCGTTCATGAGCTAGGTGGTCAAGAGGTCCTCGAGCTTATGCACTTATCAATGTAATGCCGGCGGGGGGGGGAGGCAGGGTATAGGGTGGGGATTTGACTTTTTTCAAAAATTTGCAATCAAATTCCCTGCCCACGGGCAAATCATTCCAGTCAAATCCAACCAAATTTCCCCACCCCATGCTGCACATTGCTGTCAATCCCAAGGCAGAACCTAAGAAAGGCACAATAAAAATATCTCCAAATAAAACTCTGCAATCTTTTATAAACGTTGCTGCATCAATAAAGATATATGTTCCTGTTACAGCTGCAATTATACGTTTTAACCATAATCCGTGTTACACTGCCTAGAATACATAAACCTTTAAGAGAAAGTCCACATTTTGTAAGTCTAAATATACCGTTCTTAGAAAAGGGTAAAAAGAAAGTCAGTTTTATAAGTTTACAGTGATTGTAGCGAATGAGCCATACACTAATCAATTGTACTTGCAAAAATCGACTTGGTTTCTCTTCCGTTTACTTTGATACCACAGTATATTTAGTTAAGAGGTTCAATTGATCAAAAACACGCTAAAACAAACGAAATTTGAAGACAAAACAGTGAAATCCACTCAGCCTTCGCTTGTTCTCATTGGCCTCCATGACTTCCTGATCTTTTCAAACCGTATGGCGCATGGGTGACGCGTGGAAGCGGGAAACATATGTTCGGTCTCCGTCTTTTTCGTCCGAGTCCGCAGTCAAATATCTCCATGTCGGGTGAAGAAAGATTCAAATATCCCCTCCCCCGGGAGAACAAGATCAGTCAAATGCCCTACCCCAGGGACAACAAAGACAATCAAATCCCCACCCCATGCCCTGCCTCCCCCCCCGCCGGCATTACATTGATAGGTGCATTAGTGGTGAAGCAGTCCATGAGCTTAGTAGTGAAGCGGTCCACAAGCTTAAGTCTAGCAGGCATTCAGTGGTCAATTCCATAAGTTCAGGCTCACGTGGCACGTGGTAGCTTTGTACACAGCTAGGTGTTGAGCATTTGTGTAGCGGTCATGGAGTGGTTGTTTGAGCGTCAACGCAGTCAGTTAACTGTGTGATCATTTTCATCTGGTTTCGTCAGTTTACCTGGTTTTCCTCAGGGCAAGCATTGTTGGGTTCTAGCAGTGTGTCGGGGAAATTTTCAACTCACATGGAACGTTGTTGGTTCCTCACAGTCATCAGTATCAAACTGAGCAGTTTGTTGTGGTGCTTGCATTGGCATGAACCGGTTGGAAGTGGTTGCTTTTAGCGTTTCCCCTCCCGCCTCGCCCTCTATGTCTCCTTCCACTTATTCATCATGCTTCAGTATGACAGGTGCCTAAAAAATAGCTGGGTTGCAGGGTTTTGCTAGCCATGGGAGAGTTCTAGGGGCTGGCTGGCCACAGTAGAGGCCCCTGGATACTCCACATACCGACATTCCCTCTAGTTTTTAGTAGCAGATAGTGTTAGTAGTACTGTAAAAATATTATAATCTTTTTTGTACTTTTAGCGTCTTTTTGCCGGTAAGTGTGCAACTACTTGTATTGGTGTGGCATGGCATGTAGTGTTTATGGGGCTTTGGGGTGGGATCCTTGTGGTGTTCACAGCATTCGTCAAATTTATAAGGCTTTGGGGTTGGATGTTTGTGGCTTTTTTACAGCATTTGTAGCATTTATGGGGCATTAGCGCTGTACGTCTGGCACGTGGGTCTTGTTTTTTCATGCTCTGCATAGGTGAGTGCCTCCGGGTTTGGAGGATTGGGGCTCAGGCTTCTCCCAGCCATGAGCCCCTTCTTTCCGAACATTCAGCTCAGAGGTCCCTTCGGCTTGGAGTGGGTGTTTATGGCTGGAGGGCACAGGTTTGCCAGCCATGGGGGCGTAACTATGTTTAGGGGCTGGCTGTGCTGTAGGTGGAAGCGCCTAGACATTTCGGGCACCCACCTCCTCTAGTGGTGTAGTTGTTAAATGAAGTTAAGTAAAATATTTATTAACACCGTTAACATCACCTCCATGTGCTCAGTACAATGTTTTCCTGGCGGCCATTCTCTTCGTTCAGCCTTTGGATCAATATTTTAACCCCATCCCTCCCCCCTTTATTCTTCCACTGATAAATCAGTGTGACAGGTGCCTGGTTCCATTGGCATGGGGGCTCATGGTTGGAGGGCACGGGTTTGCCAGCCATGGGGGTGTAACTCTGTCTAGGGGCTGGCTGTGCCATAGGTAGAAGCCCCTGGACATCTCAGGGACCCACCTCCACTAGCAACACAGTTGTTAAATTTAATTTTACTTCTTTTCAGCAATGTTAGTTGCAAATGATGCTTTTGGAGAAGCAGTAAAAGAAGTTTATGAACCTGACTGGCCTGGAAGAGATAAACTTATTCAGTATTTAGAGGTTTGTAATAATTATCATAAAACATCTGTTTTTGAGAAAATGGGTTTATCTTCATCATCAAAAGAAATCACAAGAAGTGTTTCATCAGATATGCAGTTTTAAAGTGGCTTTGCTGAGTCATGTCTGGATATCTGTTTAAATATCTATTATTTATATCTATATCTGTTATATTTTATGGTAAATTTAGGAATTGCACAATCAATGGCATGAATTAGAAGAAAAACTACATGATGAAGTTATCGTCCCTCTAACAGCTTATCAGAGTCAGTTTCCTGATATCAAGGTATTGTACTCTTACTCAAAGAGAAATTTACTCCTTTTCAGCATCCAAGAGTGTTAACTTCATGAGTTTCCTCCTGTCAGATTCTCTTACTGTATCCATAATTTTGCCCTCATCACCTTGATCTGTAGCAAGTCATGGTAGACAGGAATTGAATTGTAGAATTGTAGATGGCCTGCAAAGACATTGTGTAGTATTTTGATGTAAGATGCAGAGGTGGAGTCTCAGAAAAGTTCGTTAGTTTGTAGCCTGAGGTAACAGCCCACACTTCACAATGCTACTACTGGTGTTCCCAAGAAATGACATCTGACGACAAGCACAGAAATTCCTTACTGATGACATGTCACCACCCAGATCTGGGTAATTTGGTTGAAGCAAACTTCCCTGTGACCAATCAGTCGGCAATTTGTTTTCACTTTCTCCCAGCACGAATTTTCTAAGACACTTAAAAGAAAAATAGATGTCAAAAACGTCAAAAAACAAAACTGTAAACACAAATCAACAGCAATTCTCGATGCTCTATACTCTTATCAACCATAGAAATGGTGTTCATTTCTTTCTTCTACAACATCCATGTTGACCTCCTGTCTTGAATCCGTGTAAGTAGTCCCTTGAGTTTACCCTGAGCAGACAGCAGACAGAGAGAGAGAGCAGACAGTTTCCTGAGTTATTAGGCTTCTACACATCAACATCCACTTGAGTTTTAAACATTTTGTTGTCATTTCTATGGTTGATAAGAGTATAAAGAATGGAAAATTTGGATTTGTAAAATGAAAACGGTTGGAGTTATTGTGGGAATAAGCAGACATGGTTACCTTTATTCGCTAAGTCTAATGTAACTAAGCAATCAAAGTTTCTTATAGAATGTTACACTATTTATTTTGTTTTTTTTTTCATTAATAGGCAAGGATAAACAAGCGTGGTAGGAAACTTGTGGACTATGATCGCTACAGACACAATCTAGAAGTAAGCTAGTACAATAATATTGTCCTTTTTAAAATTAAAGTAATCCCTCCCTACTCTATAGGATGTAAAACCACTAGCAGCCCCCTCCCCCTGAACTGAAGTTCCAGCTACTGCATCTTAATATTTTGGATAGATCTCCTGTAGTTACTTATTACACAATGCAGTGTACCTTTAAACTTGTTTTCTTTTGCCTCTTCTTTAACCTCAAGTTTCTTTGAATTTTTTATATATATATTTTTTCTTTGGCAGACACTTAAAGCAAAGGGCAAGACAGCTGATCTCAAGAAATTGACCCAGGTGATTTGTTCTATTTAATATGCAGTTCTGCATGATTTTGTCTAAAATTATCACTTTTTCAGACTGTGACTTTATATACTGAAGACTACATGACATAAGATGCTTAATTTAGCAGAAAGAAATAAAAAAGTGATGAGTTGAAATTGAGAAGAAGATCAGAGCAGCAGACAGCTATTGTATGGATCAATCTTATTTCACTTTAATTCTTGTTCTGGCTAGCACAAAAATCCAAATAATCTTTATTGTCTAAATCCAAAAAAAGTTTAGCTAAAAGGAATGCAACCTTTATCTGATCCAGGAGAAACGGAAAGAAAAATAGCTCTTTAACTAGTGGTGGTTCATTCTGGGACTTTTAATTGTCATCTTGAAAATATTATATTTATATTTATTTTATATTTATCTGGAAATTATTTGATTCAAGAAAATTCAGAAGACAATTACAAATTCTCAAGTGCTGAGAAGAGCACTCTAAACACACATGTTCAGTTGGACACTATAGTTTTACAATGAGAAAATCCAAGTGTTTTCACTTCCTTGCAGATTAAGAGTTACAGTGGAACTTGAGTTCACTATACTACAATCCTTTAGCAGCATAGAACAACAGAGGAGTATAAATACCTTTTGCGTGAACCAACCTTGACCGGCCATGTGTATCGATGAAGAGCACATTCTTGCGATCAAAAAGCAGTTTCCTTAAATGGAACAAAAATCTGAAACCAAATTGAGATACAGTGTACCAATCTGAACACTCCAAGTGCAGAGGTGGATCGCTCAGATTGCAATTTTAGATTGGTTTAGTCCTTAATGGAACGAAAAATCAAATTTCGGATTGCAAAATGTGGATTTAGATTGGTCAAAAGGAACGCAACCAAAATTAAACAACGACAGTTTTGGTTTAAAAATTTCAAACGATGAATAATTATCTTTCGAAGTTTTTAAACCAAAACTGTCTTTGTTTATAAAATACAACAACAAATTATTATTGTTATTATTGTAATTATGTCTAACATTTACTGATCCTTGTTTCAGGCTGAAGAAGAATATAATGAAGCAAAATCAGTTTACACCAAGCTTCATGCAGAGTTATATGAAGAATTACCAGCATTATTTGACAGGTTAGAACTTTTGCAATATTTCTACAAATATTTTTTGTTCCATCATCAGACATACATGTAGCACCACTTCATTTTACAGGGGTGTTGCATTATAGAAGATACTTGCTCAAGGAACCCAATGAAATCAGGTTAAAATATCAACTTCCGGTTGCCATTGTTGATGTCCGGTACATCAATGTTCTCACCGCTTAAGGTCCCTATTGACTCTCAACTTCCTCATGTACAAATTGGTGCTAGTGAGGAAATGCAGGAGGGGAATACTGTCATCAATTTTCTTTGTTTCCTAACCCCAATAATAATTATTATGCACAATAACACAGCTGAGCTTCCATTAAACGGCCACCCATTAAGTGGCCACTTCTATAAAGCGATGGCGGCTACAACATGAGTGTTTGCCGTCCCAACATGACTTTTCCCGTAGTTGTCACCTCTATTAAGCGGCCGTCAAGCACTCTACAGACTACATTTGGCTTTATTTTAAGAATATGCTGAAGAAAAAGAGTCCAAGGCAGAAGGTGACAACTAATTGTGGACTAGTAATGCTGCCCACATCACTTGTTTGTTTTAAAATGAAGTGATGTTTTTTGCTAAAGAACCTCTCTTGAGCGGCCACTTGCCGGTACCCCTGAGGGTGGCTGGTTAATGGCGAATCAACTGTGCTGTATTCAGGTTAGAAAATGAAGGACATTGAAGACCAAACTAGTTTAAAAAAATTTTAACCTGAAATTCATTTTGAACTACAACATACATGTAAATAATTATGGGTGATTCTCAATTTGTTTTGCCTTCTAAGAGTAATCATTCTTAATCATGGATAGTACATGTATATGGGTAGCAAGACAAAGGAAATCGAAAATGAACTGTGCTGCAATTATTTAAGCTGAATTTCATTTTGAACAACAATATTCAGGTTCAATAGTCAGTACAGGTTATCTTCCCAGAATTCTACTCTAATGTAGTTAAAGGAATTCTGTAACAATAATTTTATTACAATATTGATGGTTGACTTAATTTTTTGACTTAATTTTTCTTTTTTGCAGTCGAATTGGTTATTATGTATCATCCTTCCAGAGTATATTCACTGCTGAGGGAGTATTTCACAGAGAGGCAGCTAGGGTAATGACATCTGTTCTATGGCCTGTTTATCATAATTGTTGTATATTTGAAATTTGTCAGACAATAATGTATTTGTCGTGTCTGCATTTGTTTTGTTGTTTCAGACTAAGACACAAATGAATGATCTAATGGATGGTTTAATTCAAGATATGTCAACTGGTATATACACAACTAAGAGACCTTACCCTGTTCAAAGGTATGTGTTAGCACATAATTCAAATGTGTCCTGAAATTTGCCCAATTTTTCTGCTGAAGTTTCTCGCCTGCTTCGCCACTGTTTCTCAACATGCCAAGTTAGTTTGTGTAATTCTGCGAGTTTTCATTTCCAAAGAGGAGTAATTTAACCAGGTTGGTTTTTGAATTAACCCATTTGCCCCTGAGCTGCCAGTAACCGCCTGTTCAGATCCACATCCTTTCTACCGCTTGTGACATCATCAGTTTTGATTGTCAACGATTACTTCTTGTGCAGAGTGAAGAGATGTTTCAAACCATACCAAAATGGGCACAATTCAGTCAAGGACACCGGAGAAAAAGGCAAAAACCATGTAACATTGACCTGAAAATTTCCATGAAAATCTTGTTCCACATCTTGTGTTTTCTTAAAAACGAACATTTTGAGTCACATTCTTTCCTCTTGCAGCAGTAAACGAATAATACCGTTGTATTTCTCTGTCACTCAGTGAAAACCAAGTGTCAGACAGTGACGATACAGATGCCCAGACGACATCCTCTCACCCAGAAAGTGGTGATGCAATAGTGTGCAATGATGAGGCAGTCACATTAGAAACTAATGATGGTTAGTATCCAGGAAATTCATCTATTCATTTATCATCGAAATTCATCTGGGGCCCGTTTCTCAAAAGTGCTGATGATTAATGGGCCTGGAGAACTGTTGTTGTTTACATTTGAGATAGAGGTTCTAATATTTTTGCAGTTAGCATGATAACAAAGCAAAATGGACTGATTGAGTTGCCAGGATCTGCACTTTTATTCTTTCGATTTTGATTTAAATATTAGATTTCAGGTTCAAAAAATACCAGGACTTTTGAGAAACAGGTTTCAGGGGAGATAAATGTTATTATAAAATAAAATGTTTATGAATAAAGGTCTAATCTTGTTCACTAAGACTTAGTGAACAAGATTAGACCTCTTTGGAAGCAAGGTAACTACAGTCAAATCTATATTAAGCGGCCCTCTCAAGTGGTCACCCTCAATATATTAATTTTGACTGTCCTTTTATATGGCCTTTTAGTTTCAAGATTGCATTTCTGCAGCTGCCAATACATACAGCTAAAGTTGAGATCTTGATGTCAATCAATATTATTAGCAATCAAGAATTAAGATCCTCTTCAAAATATGTACATCGCAGTAAGAGTAATTGTGCATGTGAAAAAAAGACCTATATTTTTACAAAACCTTATCTTTTAGTTTTAAGTAGCTGAAAATCAAATTTCCACACAATGGTCATGTGTTATTAACAACCACTCCTCTAATTTTGTCCTTTTTTTTTGTTTCATATCTTAGATGGAACTGTAAATCAGATAGAGGGCAAGGCTGCTGTTGGAACAGATGGTATATTGTTTACTCCTTATTTTTTCATTCTGAAGATGATTCATTATTTTTTAACCCCCCCTGGTGGGTGTACCCTCTTATTTAAGCAAATTATATAGGTATGTGCCACCCCAAAGGGTATGGTTTTTGGGCCTTTCTGGTCTGAAAATGGGTATACACTGTTCCCATTTTAGTCTTGAATTGCGTATGATTTTCGAGGGAACTACATGAGTGTATGAATGTATTTATCGTTTCAAGTCCAAATGAATAAGAGTGAAATAGAATGTGAATTCACGATGAAATTTGAAGAATTTTTTTTGTTTGCGCTCTGTTCCAAGTATTGATGAAATAATTTCTGCCTAAAGGCCAGATGTGAAAACGGGAATGGATTTTAGAGGTCTAGCTGGTCTTAAAACGGGTGTGGAAAATGGCATTTTTTGGTCTGAATTAGGGTCGGGATTTGGAAAACCGGGTGGTACGACCCCACCAAGAATTCCCAAGAGTACCTCTAACCCTAAAACTTCCTCCCCCCACCCCTCGGTTTACTTCTAAACCCTCAAAGTAGAGCCTGGGGCTATGAATACTCAACAACCTTTCTGTTATGTAATCTGACATATTACTTTGCTGATGATGTTCAAGCAATTTGGAGGAAATATTTGATTTTGTTTTAAATTGTTGCTCCATGTCTTGAAATTTGTACATTAATTGCCTTATATTAACATTCATAAAGATATCTCGGAAGGTACCCGGTCAGCTTGAATACCAGTTATCCCCTTGACCTGTTACAATGGTGTACAAAGTCTCATGAAAACTGTATAAAAAGGTTTTTCACCACTGCATTTTGTTCCACAGCCACGAACCCATTCCTGCAATCTGACCAGGATGAAGCAGATACTGTGGGAGGGGAGGTGACTTCACAAGAAAGCCAAGAAAAGCCCAAGCCTGTACCAGCTGCACGACCCCCACCCCCTCAGGTTAAACCAGAAAGACCTGCAGTACCGAATTTGCCTGTTAGTAGACAGCAACCGCAAGCAGAGGGTACTGAGGTAAGTTCAGTATCCAAAGAATACTACCAAAACAGTTGGACCACGAATTCAGAGATACGTGTGACGGTTGATTTTGGCACCAGATGTTTATGATTTGAGTCATGTGGCTTTGTTTGTCAAACTAGAAAGGTGCACTCACGTGGCCACATTCCTGAGCATTTGGTAGACCAAAGATAGGACAAGTCGAGTAAAATGCATAATGGTGTTCTCTGTCAACCAAAAAGGAGAAATTTTTGTTTGTGGAAAGTCAATCGATTAAAGTTCTTTCAGTTTCAGCCTTGTAACACTATATAATATAAACTCTTACCACTCTGATGCACGAACAACGAAGTCAGCGATGAAAAAAAAATGTGACCACACGAGTTCACCTTTTTGGTGTGACAAACAAAGCCACGTGACCTAAGTCGTTAATGTCTGGTGCCAAAATCAAAACTGCCAAAACTGTCATGAGTGTCTTTGAATTTGCCGTCTATCTGTCTTGGTAGTAACTGCTAGAATTAGACATTGATGACTATGCATTATCTTTACTCTCTTAGTTCATCCATTGATGACAGGCCTTTCCATTTTCCAAATAGACCCATCCACATTTTATTTCAAGTTTTGATTAGGATCAGTTTGCAAAATTTGTTGACACAACTGGAAAGAGCACCGTAATTACCAAGTTTGAAAGTGATACCATGTGGCATGAAAGTTTTGCAAGTTTTGCGATTTTTCCAGCAATCTGTCAAAATATGGTCTCGCAAATTCACCACAAACATGTTTCCCGCAAAAATTTACTCCAGAATAAATATTCTCTAACTTAAATTCGCCACCCTTAGATAGAGTACTAAGAAATTGTGTCTGTTCAATCACAACTTGTCTCCTTCATTCAGAAACAAAATGGTATACAATGAAATACTGGTTTTACATAGGTATATGCACACTGTAGTATTGTTTGAAAATATGTATTTCAGTATATAGCACGTACTCAATAAAAACGAAAATATTATAAATGTTGGGCACTGGGTACTTTCTGAAAATCACAAAAGTCAATTCCCAGCACGAAAAGCCAATCTGTCCTGATTGCAAAAATTAGTTTCAGCAAAACACAAAAAATCACCAATCTGCACAAATGAAATCAAATTAAAGATGTTATCAAACAACCTGTGGGCATGTTCATGCATCTAACTGACAGACAGGACTCATATAAGGAGTTCATTGATATATTTTATCTCACCACACAGAGTAAGGGATCACCATCAAGTGAAGAATCTCCTCCAACATCTATGCCGCAGGCAGAAGGAGAAAAGCAGGAGACTACAACAAGTGAAATTCCTGGAGTTCAATATAAGGTAAAGTGTTAAGGTTTTTTTTAGTATCCAGTTTCTCCTCATGACAGGGTAGTAAAATTCCTGAAGTTCTTCAGGAGGTACAGCAGTTATTATTTTCAATATTCTCTATTTTCGAATCCCCCATAATACACTCTCTTCGCCCCCAAAGTTTGCATAAACCATTGTTTTCAAATGCTCCTGGGAGTACTGCATTTTCCCAAGAGCATTTGAAGACAAAAACTTATGCAAAATTCGGGGGGCATTCAGAGTGTATTATGAGGGATTCAAAAATAGTCAATTCAAGTTCTCATCTTGAGTTATCACTACTTCAGTACGCAATCGGTAAGATAGTAAAAGCAGTCATTTTAAAGGCATGGTCAAAGAATGGAAGACTGTGTAATATTTCATTTGGAAATACTAATAATTTTTAGCAAGTGTCTTATCTGCATTAAAATATCAAGTTCTGAGTCCTGGCATGGATTTCTCAAAACTCCCAAAAAGTTTTTTTAAGTCCCAGATAGTTTTAAAATAGAATAATATCTTCCATGTATTTTTGTAATGATCTTTGGAGTTCTTGTGCAAAGTAGGCCAATACACTTCTCATTCTTATAAAGTTTTGAAATCTTCCCATTTGAGATTTTTTCTCATTCACACTTTTTGCTTGAATAAAGTTTTTGGGAGTTTTGAGAAACATGCGCCTGAACTTTTGTCAGATTTGTATGCTTGGAATTCCTAAAGCATCATTCTCCCTGCGGCTATTGTTTTCCATCAAGCTAGGGTAGATCAAAGTACAGTTACATTTTCATTAAATGGCCACCTATTAAGGGGCCAGTGATCAAAGTCCCAAGACAAATTGTAGAAAACAATAGTATTATTGTAAGTTTAACTTCCATTAAGTGGCCACCTCTATTAAACACCCGCGGCCACCTTTTGGCCATCCTGACGAGAGTTCTCCGATTGTTGTCACCTCTTTATTTCACAAATTAGTTGAAAATATAGTTGGAGATCGATGGTGATAATAATTTATTTTGGCTCAGTAATGCTGTTCCCATCAGATCCCTTCACGTGTTTGTTTAAAAAATAAAGTGATATTTCTGCTTATTTCTGACAAACCTGTATTGTTCAGTGCTCCTGAGGAGTTGAAAGACTGCTCTACCTTGACGTCTTTCGAAAACAAACTTAAGTGAATTGTAGTTTGTAAATTGTAATAGACAATCTTTAGCAGTTCCTTCGTTAGTTTATCTTCAAGTTCTCGCCTATGAATCATAATTTTTTAATTGAGTTTTCTGTTTTTTATTGATTTTTTTTTTCCTGAGGGCCATGTGTAGATTATCGAGAGACATTAAGTGCTACCCTCAATAAAAAAAGTTATAAAAGGTATCATCATCATCATCATCATTATCATTATCACTATTATTATTATTATTATTATTATTATTATTACAACTTCTGTTAAGAGACTTATGAGTGGCCATCAAATGGAGGTTGAACTGTAGTTACCGGTTGTTTAAAACTTTCTCTCCAGGTTCGAGCAGCCTATAAATATGTAGCTGAGGATGATGATGAGTTGTCATTTGAGAAAGGAGAAATCATAAATGTAGTTGAGTTTGATGATCCTGAAGAACAGGTACGTTGCTTTGAATAATAAATTGTAGAACAAGGACTTGGTTGAAAATATTCCAAGAAATAGATATACAGTTAAACCCTGTTAATGAGGACACTGAGGGGACCATAAAAGTGCTTGTTTTAACGGGGTGTCAGTATTAACCTTTTAAGTCCCAATATACAGAGACAAATTCTCCCAACTGATCTCTACATATTTCTTTAAAGAATGTGTTCAGAGAATTTGATAAAAGATCAAAGCATTTTGTCTTTTGGTGATCATTTTATTAATTCTCATAACCTAATCTCTAGACAATGTATTGGTATCATACGGAGAAAATTGATGTCGGTCACCATTGGGACTTAAGGGTTAAGCAAGTTGAATATAGAGAAAATGCGAGGGCTTACTTTCTCTAGGGACGAGAAAAAAATTGTCCCTAATAATGAGGAGTCTGTATTAAGCAGGTGTCCGTAAAGCAGGGCTCGATGATATTAGAAATTGCCTGTTATCAATGAAGGAAAGGTGGTCACTACACAGACACAATCACTTGTTCAAAGAGAATTTACTGCATACAATGAGGGTTAGGGGTCCCATAGGAAGCTTTTAAACTCTGGAATTATGTGAAAAATAACTCTTGCCACCCAGTCATTATTGAGTGGTTTTCTGTACAAATAATATTTTGTAAATGATGAAATTTTCAAACTGTCATTTAATTCAATATTTAATATTTACAACGATTTGTATGGAAAATCACTCAACCATGACTGGGTGGCAAGAGTTGTTTTTCGAATATAAATCCTTCTAATTTTTTGGTAGCCATTGAAATCCCTTCTTTTGCAATATGCGGATGAAAATTTACAGGTTACCTATTTTTAATATTCTCTTTCAGTTCCTGCTAAAATCATTTCTCCAAAGCTAACTGTTTTCATGTTTACAGAAAGTTGATCATGTAACAGCATTATTGCAAAAGGCCTATTACTAAGCAATGCATTCTTAGAGTTTTATGGCGTCATGTTATTTTCCTACCACATCTGAACACCATGGTATTTTCATAGCTCTTTTGACTTTCTATGTGCTGTTTCATATCTCTGTAGGATGAAGGTTGGCTAATGGGTATCTTAGAGCTTAGTGGTATCAAAGGAGTCTTCCCTGCAAACTTTACAAAGCCAATTTAACAGTGACTGGTCGTAAAGAGAAAGAAACAAGACTGATAGGAGTTGGCAGCAAATAATGTAGGGTTTCTATAAGTTATAATTTACTGGATATATTTGAGCTGTTTGAATATTATGATATCAATATAATAATACGCAGCAGCTTAAGAAACTATCCGAACTAACTATAGACAATTCTACAGGGAAGAAGGTCTTAGAACTATAATTGTTAAAGGAGAGTACTCAAAGCAAATTAGAATTTCTAGAGGGGTATTGTGGGTATTTGAACAAAACATCTTCTCTGGGGTGGGGAGGGGTTGATGTGAATAGTTGAGATCAGTATGTGATCTTGTAAGACTACCCACCCACCCCTCCCTTACCCAATGCTAACACTAACTTTTCTCTTGGGGCAAACTGTTGGGTTAGGGAAGGTGTAGCTTGGATCATTATACTAGTCAAGAGAAGGTTGGGTAGGGGAGAGTAGGAAACTACCCACCCTCCCCTTCCCTAACCCAACCCCAACACTAACTTTTCACTTGAAGCAAAATTTTGGGTTAAGGGAGGGGTTGGTGTGTAGTTTTGCAAAATCCTATACTGATACAATAGTTTCTTCTTGAGACGAAGGAGATGCAAGATGATTGCCAGCAGTTTTGTGAAAATATATGCCTTCTATGTGCAGATCTTTCAATGAAAATTTATTTTGTCTCACACTAAAATTTCTCACACTAAAATTTCACTAAAACATCTCACACTAAAATTTTAGGCCCGTCAAGAAGTCAGTTAAAATTAGTAAAAAAAAATTACAATCTCCCACAGCTTCAAAAGCAACAGCGGAGACGCGTTAAAGATTGAGAAAATAGCCTTTTTTGGAATGTTAATGTAAATTTCATCAGTAACATCAATTCTTTTGTGTATTTTCACATCGAACAGTTAACGTTCAAATTTCGTGCTTTATAATACTTGGCAGTAAAAATGAATTGCTTAAAACAATGTTACAATAAAAGCCATCTAGGCGCTCGTATAATGTAGTCGTCCGCTGGTTCCTTCAATATTGTGGACTTTTAACGTAAACTGTGGGTGTTCTAGTGGGTTTCAGCAAAGACTTATAACATGAAATTTTATGAAAATACTGTACAGTTATTCAAATCTAAAATCATTTTGCTTTATGGTGAATTTGCAGTCAGTATTACTTAGTACAGTAACAGAAAGCATGTTCATCTTGTTACTGCATCAATGTAGTTCAACTTGTAATATATTTTAATCAGTAATGATGCAATGTCAATAAAGGTATTGATTCAAACAACTCTTTTGTGGTACAATATCATGACTTTTGGAACAACTATTCAGTGGCGGTTCCAGGGGAGGGGCTAAGGCCTCCCCTTATTTTTAGAGCGAACTGAGACCCGAGGGGCCGAAATTAAAAAAAAAAACCGCCCCCTTCTTATCTCAGGGTCTGGATGACCACCCCCCCCCCCCTTCCCCACCCCCTCCCCCCTTATATGAAGGTCTGGATTCGCCACTACTATTGACCTGCCGGAATAGAGAGGAGAAGTGTGACGTCAAGTTACCATGGTAGCAAAATTTTTGGATCACAACGAAAGGGACATTAGGCAACGACAACAGCGACGGCAACGACAACGGCAAAAAAAAGAAATAAGTTTATATTAGTAAAACAACAACTTGGCACGTGCATCACGCTTTTTTGTACATTTTTAGCCATCGTTGCACGACTGCGACTCGAAACTTCCTAACTTCCCGCGCCCGCTTTACGGAGTAGGTGAACACAACACAAAAAGTTTCCTTTTCTTTTTCTAAACTCAGATACAGTCCTCTCGGTTTCAATCCAGAAAAAATCGCTAACATTTGACAAATTAAATGATACTGAATAAGATCGATGAAGTTTCAAACAGTGCGAATTTATTTTTTAAGTGAATTTTGGGATTTTTTGCCATCCAAAAATTTTGCTACCATGGCAACGTGACGTAACGACTTCTCTTCTCTATGTATAGCCTTCTATATCTTCTCTTTATCTCAATGTATTTGCCAGTTAATCAAACGTTAGAACCTAATCCTTTCGACTTACACGCTTAACTTTCTGATTACGCAGCCAATACTAAGTTGCACGCACGTCCAATCACAGGCAGCCCAAGCTCAGTATGAGAGTTTGATCATTGACACAGGGTAATGGAAATCGCTTAAATCGCACAGGATCGGGAAAATACCACACAGGAAGCAAGAACACCAAGTAAATAAGGTAAATCGTTTTTTTATTGAAAATTCCTGAGAGTGTTTACTTCTGGAATCTATTAACCCGAATTTCCATTCAAATTCTTTATATTCACGGCCATTTTAAGGATTATGCACTATGATAGCACACGTATTAATGATCATACTCTCATACCTAGCTTGGGGTGCCTGTGATCCAAGGCGAAGTGGCAAGAGCCGATTACCTTCAACATTGTCCCTAGAGCTTTTCCTTTGGAAAATTGGAGGGGCGCCCCTCTTATTTTCTAAGGGGAGAGTCTGAGACGTCACGACGCACCTTTGCCTGATCTCTGTACGGCGTTTTCCCAGTCCCTCTCGGTCAATTCACTTCGGTGACGTATCCGAGTCGTACGGGCGGAAAACGCCTCACATTATTGATTAATTGGACCACGTGACCCGAAACGCTTTGGCCGCGCGAAACTAGACAAGGCTTTCTTATTGAAACTTTTGAAATTTCTTAATCCTTTACTTTTAGGCAAAATAGGCTAAGAAAAAGTGTTTCCCGCCGTTCTAGATAGAAAACAAGCAATTCTAGACTATAAAAATATCAATTTAAGAAAGTCGCAAAATTAAGATTTTTCCAAAGAAGTTGGTCCATGGTTTTCATAAAAAATTTGAAGTTTCTTCATCCTTTCTTTTTTAGCCAAATAGGCTTAGAAAAAAGTATTTGTCGCCGTTCTAAATAGAAAACAAGTAATTCTAAGTAATTTAAGAAAGTTGCAAAATTGACATTTTTCCAAACAGGTTGGTCCATGCTTTTGGTGAAAATTTTCAAATTTCTTCATCGTCTTTTTTTAAGGCAAAATAAGCTACGAGAAAGTGTTTGGCGCCGTTCTCGATCGAAAACAATCCATTCTAGATTATAAAAACATCAATTTTAGAAAGTCGAAAATCTGACATTTTTCCAAAGGGGTTAGTTCAAGGTTTTGGTCAAAAATGTTAAATTTCTTCATCCTTTCTTTTTTCGCCAAATAGGCTAAGAAAAATTCTTTGGTGCCGTTCTAGGTAGAAAACAAGCCATTCTAGACTATAAAAACATCAGTTTAAGAAAGTCGAAAATCCGGCATAAAACAACAACATAAACTTTATTTTCACTAGAATTTTAGAGTAGCTATAGACCTAATATCTTCGAGCTGACACTACATAAAAATACGTTAAATACATTATGAATAATAATAAAATAATAACAAAAAACACTGACATACACCTGTAAAAGAAAATATTATTTACAATTTTTAGTTATAAGTATGTTCAAGCAAAAAGAATTTACGTAACGGTAACACCCTGCATTTTAGTCTTAAAGTCTGCAAAAATTCTAGTACGAAAAAAGTCAGGCAGTGTATTCCACTGCTTAGCTAAAAAGTAAGAAAAGGAGTTAAGACCATAGTTGTTTTAGTTTTACTGAGTGAAAGAATGTAGTTGTCACAAAGATCATAGGACGAGGACCGAAGTGAAATATAAGCAGGAAAATGAGTGAAAAACAAACTCTCATCAAGAGCCATAATAGCAATGGCTCTTGCTCTCATACAAAAATATGAGAAAATTCTGAACGCGCTTGTTACACAACAAAGTAGAGTTGACTTTTGAAAGAAGAGTGGTATATAGAGACGAGTAATCTCCAAGTATAAATCTAAGTGTTCCTTTATTTAGTGCTTCAAGCTTATCTCGGATCGCGTGCTCTACAAAAGTGCCAGCTAGTGCCAAACAAAGAAGCAATAATATAAATGAGGTAAATACACGCTTTGTAAAGTTTTAATAAGAATTTCCCTGCGTATGAGTTTTCGAAAGCGCAACATTACATTAAATCAAGAGAGGATAAAGGGGACATAGAAGGCATCCCCCATACGCACCCTATTCCATAGGTAATATTCGTCTCGAGTTATTTTTAAGACCACAGATCCTAAGGGGGATTAGACAACAGCCAATCACATAGCGCGAATGTGTTCCGCGTGGATCAACCACGCTCAGAGCCACGCGTCCTTTACGAATTGACGCAGAAAAAAATGGCGGAAGACGCGGAAAGCGATATTGCCATTCGTTTTGTCGACGAAAACGACTACAGAGAGATTGTCAGCGAAACGGAAATTAAAAAAGAATCGCCCTTCCTCTCTTGTATAGAGCTAACAGTGCAGCAGGGAAATGCTTAACACACTGAATATTCTCTAAGGATCATTTAAAATTTACAGTTTGAAGAGAGCAATTTCTGGTTTGATATTTATTCTTTTATTAGTCTTTTATTATTCAACAAAAATAACACTTGGCGTCCTACTTGCTTTATTGTACAAACGACCGGTTTCAATAGATCGGCGAAATTTCTCATTTTATTAAAGCACTGAGGTTACGACAACTTCGAGTTGAACTGATTTCACGGGTTGTCAAAGAGTCCAGCGATTCCCTTTTCCCAGGTGAGCGCCGACTCATTTCGCTTCGATATTCAGAAATGCTCTCGATCTCTTTACGCTTTCATTGCCATTCGCCCGACATGTTTTGCACGGCGTTTAGTCATGCGAAACCTCCACGAAAGATCCACGCAGCTCGCGAGGTAACTTCATCCCGATTCTAAAAATAACTCGAGACGAATTGCCTATGGAATAGGGTGTGTATGGGGGATGCCTTCTCTGTCCCCTTTATCCTCTCTTGATTAAATTGATTATTAATCTTTTTGCATACATTTGATATATGTTTAGAAAATTCAGTTTATAACGTATTTCTATTCCAAAAATCTCTAATGTGTCCTTTACTGGGAAGGAAAAACCATA